TCTGACCTGGGTCCTGCTGCATTTGCGTGCCGTGAACATTATAGATTTAAGTCATGCGCAGTTGCGCACAAGAAAGTCAGCAATCATTGGACATCTCAATCAAACAACAATTTAAAGAAATATTAACATACAGTAATAATCATGACATATTTTGAGTGGGACTTGAGTGGACTCGGGAATAAGACCGAGTCTGAGACCGAGTTCCAGTCTCGAGTGCACAACACTGCTTGGATGTTTTCAAACCGAATATCAGGCCACATGAAAATTGCCATACAACGTAAAAATTGCCATACAATTTTCATGTTCAAGAATTGCATGCACCTTTGATTTGAATTGTCAGTTGCACTGATGTATTGTGAGTTACATGCATTGCGTCGACCTCTCCAAGACAGTTGAAATAACCAGTCAACGTCTGTCATGATGGTGATGAGTTTTTCTCCTCTCGCCTCTCTAGTTGAATAAAACCGCTCATCACATCATTTTAAATCTGGCAAACAGGCTTTTGTCTGTTGTGAATAGGACAGATTCCTTTTTCTTCCATACATGAATTATTTTAAGAACCGCTTCTGCTTTTTCCATATCACAAGCCTTTATGACAGTCATTTTTTGGCATTAGTCCCAATCGGCCCCATGGTCCTCCTTTCAGCATGTATCAGTCCTTTCATCACATTGACATGCAGTCGGGCCAAATGTCCACAGCATGTCAATCAGGCGAGCTCCAAAGAGACCCATTGAATCTCATGTCACAGCGAGTTCAGGAACAAACACTGTTTTGTGTGTCTTCCCTGTGGAATTCACATAGACCTCTGAAGAGCTTTTACCTGTGTGGTTGCCTTAATCTGAAGCTACAAGTGATGGAAGACTATAAGGCAATAAGCTCCTACCCACGTTAGCATCAGCTGCATAGCCATTAGCAAGGACTTCCAGCCATTAGAAGGATTTAAAATGATGCATTGTGAAATATGAATGGCTTTTTTGATACCAGTGAGCTTTGGATGCTTGATCGTTGATTATAGATGACGGGTATGTCATTAGCTTCATTAGCCGTTAGGAACTGGATGCAGTTCAGAGGGAATGGCACTGAGGTTAGCAGTGGTGATTTCAGGATATGTGCCTGTAGGGCTACATGCTCCCCGACCTTCATTGGGCTGGAATAATACAGTGATAAAAATGTACCTTATCAGATATATCATCTTGCAAAGACTGAGGCTACAAGCCGCTTAGAGGACACCAGGGACAAAATCTAATTCTGTTAGGTGACAAAAAGAGGCCGCTTGGCTGTAATCTCTGAAATGATCTAGGTAATGTTACAGAATTCATCCACCTTTTCATTCTTTTGTAAGGAGCAGTTTATCTAAAAATGAGAGTTTAAAAAATTAACTCAATTTCATGACATTTCAACCTTGTATTATGTTCTTTGTGAAACATGCAAGGAAATCTTGAAGAAGCTTGAACAAAATCTTGACATGGAAATCTCGTTTCATGTGTGTACCAGGGCCATAACAACCATCGGCACTCCCCCCAAAAATGTGAAATTAATTTTTTCAAAGAAATTAATACTTGTACTGAGCAAAGATGCATTAAATTGAGCAAAAGTGAAAGCAAAGACATTTATAATTTAACAAAAGATTGTAATAATAAAAGAAACCCGATTTTTTTTCCACAAAAAATATTAAGCAGCACGACTGCTTTCAACATTTATAATAATACATAATGTTTGTTGAGCATCAAGTAAGCATATTAGAATAATTTCTAAAGGATCATGTGACAATGAAGACTGGAGTATTGATGCTGAAAATACAGCTTTGCCATCACATGAATAAATTACATTTTACAATATATTATTCTAATTTGAAATAATATTTCACAATAGTAGTGTTTTACTGTATTTTTGTTCAAATAAATGCAGCCTTGGTGGGCAGAAGAGGAGTCTTTCAAAAACCGATTAACCCAAACTAAACTTTTAATTTATTTTTAAGATCCCAAGTCTTCTGAAGATGTTTGATAGTTTTGTGTGACACTTGTTTTGGTTTGCTGATAATTTTCTCCTCTGCTCCAAATATTTCTTGGTATCATTCCCATTAAACCGGAACACAAATTCAGATATATTTTATTAAATCTGAGAGCTTTCTGTCCCTCGCAACTTTCAAGGCCCACAAAGGTAGTAAAAAACACCATAAAATACATCAGAACGTAGGCTCACTATTGGCCGACACTGTTCATGTGTGTGATGACCCAGGAGCTAGCCAATAATGAGTCGATGGTCTGAGGTTGAACCCAGAAGCGCTGCACTGTTTACACTATGTCAACAGTGTAGGAGAATGACTTGGACAGAAGAGATTGTTGAATAATTAAATTGAATAATATTTTGGGGTGGGTTTGCGCACAAAGTTTTCTCATCGCTTCATAATATTAAGCTTGAACCACTGTAATTAAATGGGCTATTTTAATGATGTTTTACTGGGCTTTGAAAGTTGATTTGATTTTGATCCAAAATATCTTAATTTGTGTTCCGATAATCAACGAAGATCTTATGGGGTTGGAATGACCTGAAGGAGAGTAATTAAAGTCAGAATTTAATTTTTTGGGTAAACTATCCCTATAAGGTAACTATTGCCCGTTACCCTTTTTTGAGTAGTACTGTATGTCTTAAGAAGAGCATAGAATAATATAGCGCATGAGTCATATGGACCACTTATATGGTGCTTTATTTTTGTCTTTTTTGGGGCTTGTCAGTAAAAATAACCATCCACATTTAGGAAAACAGATGGTGAAGCTTGGACATTCTGCCTAAAATCTGCATTTTGGGTTTCATGCCATATAAAGAGAGCGTGAGAAATGAGAATGACATGAGGGTTACTAATTTCAAAATGTAAATTTTTGGGTAAACTATACCTTCATCAGCAATGACTCATTTTAGTTTAAATATCATCAGCATAAAACCATATCTCTGATTAACCATGGCTGGCACAAATGGCTCCTGTCTCCATTTTGGTTTATCAGCCATGTCACAGCTCCCGGCCTGCACATCAGTTCAAACACCCTTTTTTACCTCAGATTCTCAATAACCTAAGGCAAGGAGAACAGAGGCTGCTGGAACAGATTGATGCAGCAGAGCTCCTCTCATCTTCACTGCAGTGACTGAAGATCAGACGAGATCACTCATACTGGACCCACCTGTCACAAACATCTTTCAGCATCGTGGAGATCACTGCAGGCAAAAAAGTTGTTTTCTCCTCCCCAACCCCACTATACATTCATACACATGCTATGGACCCAAACACAGAGATTCAAACCCAGATGCTTCTTTGCGTTGTTCTTTTCAACCCCCAACCACAACTCCCCCAACACATGAGGCATGAAGATAGGCATAGGCATGAAGAACGCTGATAAAGAAGATGTGCACAGAAATCTTGCGTTATCTTTCCAAATGGTTGAGATCAATGCATTGTGCAGCCTCGCATTGAATCTTTATCGCCTGTTTTAAAAGATGCATATCTCGCAGTGACAATACATTTGTCAATCATCACTATCAATGCTGTGGAGGGGAGAATGAGGGTCATTATTAGTGGAGAATGAAGCTTAAATGGTGAATGCTGTTGTAGATGCATAGGCAGAGAAAGCTATCTGCCTTCTAGGTTGTGTTCTGAGGCTGATTTGAAAGTTTGCTCGCCTAAGGGGAAGATTTGGAGCTGAAGAATGTCACAACTGTGGCACATCCCTCATTCACATGCTCAAAGCCCCAGGGAACTAATGTCTTAACGCAAATGGCACGTATCTTCACTGGAATAATGGAAGGTGTTAGCTTGGAAACACTTTTGAATTGCAGCTGCTGAGATTCAAATTTATGGTAAGCGAGACTCTCATATAGTTTATAATAAATGCGCAATAATTATATCTAAAAACGCCTGCATTATTATTAATGAATGCAGTGTACAAGGGTTTAAAAAAGACTGTGGAGCAGTGAAATGTCCCAGAGGAACATATATATAATTACAGAATATAAGTAAAGGGAACGAAGTAGGATACAGTTTGGAGTTGAGGTGAAAATGTAGGATATTCAATACGCTCAATGTTTCCAGGGTGTTCTGGTGCTTTTCTGTTTGATAAGACCCAGATTTGTCTCTGTCTGCAACAAAAGACTCACAAGTAAATGAAACAGACCCCCTTCTGGAGTGCAATACAAATCAATTGCCATGTTCCTCTTAAGCACACAGGGTTTAGCCGGCTGTGAGGGGGCTGGAGGATAGATGATTGGTGGGTGGAAGTTTCACTGTCACTGTAATTACAAAGAAGAATGCCGGGCAAGACACATTGAGGTCTTGTTTTTTCAGGAGGAAGTGCTTTGGGGGTGATCATGACTGAATTTTAGATAACATATTGACTTGCTTTCTTGTGTAAACCCTGGGTATTGATTGATGTTGGAAGTATGCTAATGAATGTTTCACATTTTTATATTATCGATGTGTTTTAATTCAGATGTATATATGCAAGGTGCAATCGCAACAATTTTCATAATTTTTTTTTTGTTTGTTTGTAGCAAAAATATCCAAACATCCTTAAAACAAAATGCAAATTTTTTTTTCAAAGAGGTTTTCATGTTTTGAGGCCATAAGACCAGGCTTTTTGTGAGCTAACATAAACATAACATAACCTAGACATAAAATACAAAATGAAAAACGAAATATAAATACTTATTAAAATATATTTAATTGGCTTGTATGTGGTCACTGTAAAGCCAGGCCAAGTTATTAAAATATGGTATAGAAAATATTAGCATTTTTACTTTTTTCTTCATTTTTTTTTATCACATTCACAACACATATCGTTCCAAAGCAGCATTTACAAAAAATAGTTTAAAATTAAATATCCCAAATTACCACAATAATGTTGACGGTACTAAAACTGTAAATTTTATACAACTTATTTTCACATTCTTCAAAAACGCATTTTATAATACAAATCTAATGTCCATTACATTTCTTCTGTTTTCTTCCCAGTTTGTTCCCAGTTCTCCAAAGGAGTCTACGCCATAATCGGTCTGTATGACAGGAAGACTATGAACATGCTCATGTCGTTCTGCGGCTCTCTGCACGTGTGCTTCGTCACGCCCAGCTTCCCCATCGATACCAACAACCAGTTTGTGATCCAGCTGAGGCCTGAGCTCCAGGATGCTCTGATCGCCCTTGTCGAGCACTACAAGTGGACTAAGTTCGTCTACATGTACAGCTCGGACTCAGGTTGGCTTTTTTTCTTGCTAATGTGCCGTTTCAAAAGTACAATAATGGAAACTGAAGTTTTCAGGGTGACGTAAATATTTAATTTTTTTCGTTTTATGCTTTTTTCTGTATCTGCATTACCACTGCAGTTGTGATTAAATGGTGTAATACTCTGTAAGGTTGCTCAGGATGTCATGAAGATGATTTAGTGATTTGTGATTTAGGAGCTTTAGAGGATATTGCTGGGAAAGTTTAAAAAACGTGATGATTTGGTATAATCCTGTTGAGGTGCTCTGCTTGTCTTGTAATAGGGTTATACTTTGACATTTCCTGTGCCTCGGGTGTAGTAATTTTACTTATGGCTCCCTGATTCCTGCAGGATTGCTCTTATGCTGTAATCTGTTTGAAGTTCACTGAAAGATCTTCTATTGTGATTTAAGTATGGACGAGCGCTGGCTGCACCATATTTCTCCTGTGAGTGGAGACACGTGTGTGGTGCTTCATCATATTTTCCATATCCAATCATTATCAAATTGCCATGTTGTCATTAGAGAATAACTCTAAATCATTACTGCAATCATTTACACAACCCCACGACCAGAACAGTGCAATGCAAATAAGAGCATCAGACCATAGGAAGTGAGTGAATCCATTTAACATTTGTGCCAATGTCGTGCACAGCATCAGCACAAAAACCTGCGTCTTATCTATTAATCACCCACAATCCAGTTTAACCAGGTGCTAAATGCTTTGGAATAGCATTGCGCCATATTTAAATTAAAAAGTCATTGTTTTTGCACAAACGTGCCTCATTTCTTTGTAAATTAGGCTCATTATTGATTGTGCCCTTTTCACCAAACTCAGTGCTATAGAACTATTCAGTCATGAAATCAATTTGTTGACAAACCTGGAAGACTAATTCACCATGGCCTCCCTTGGGAATTTCCTAAAGGGGTTTTAGAATAACAGTCTTCGATTTGTGAGCAAAATAAGGTCTGTGGTTCATGTTACTTGAAGAGACTTTAATGTTCTGTTCTACAGCATACGTTACACACAGTCGGACCTGGTTCCTTAAGCCTCTATACAACAGTTGTCCATTCCCTCAAGCATGTAGCCTCACATCTTTATGGTAGTTGTAGTGATTTATGGCAGTTTTTTGTTTAAGATGTAGTTTTTGGTCTTTCGATGAAAATATCCTGTACTACAATAGCATGTAATTTTAGTAAAAAAAAAAAAAACACATTTTAGCTGACAAGCAGTACTGGGAAGTAATTGATTACATGTAATCTGGGTTCCAAAAATGAAGTACTTAGTAAGTAATTAGATTATGTTTTAAAATACTCATAATCAGACTACAGTACACTCTAAAAAATGATGGGTTGTTTTAACCCAACTTTGGGTCAAATATGGAATAACCCAGCCGTTGTGTTAAATTTTTACATTACATTTTTAACCCAACATTTCGGGTTTGTCCATATTTGACCCAAAATTGGGTTAAAACAACCCAGCATTTTTTAGAGTGTACAGTTACTTTTTTTTATTGATTACATGATTGTTATTCTCACAATGGCAGTAAATTGTTCCTAATTTTATATGTATCCTTTTATATGTTCAGAAGGTATTCTATGCCTTAGACCAGCCACTCGTCATGTGACTATCACTGAAAACTGAGACCCACACAGAATTTGTCCACTGGATTTACAGAAATCATCTCACTTAAACAAGTGTTTTCTCAACAATCCAACATTGCATATACTGTATAATCAACTCCTGACGAACACTTTCAGATATATTTGAATAATTGTTTTGCTGTCTTTGGAAAGCTTTTGTCTTTCAAACACAAATGTACAAATTATGTCACAATTTTATTTGTCACCTTTTTGACCTAACATATTTACTTGATTATTCTGTTCAAATCAATGATAAACAAGTTATGTCAAAAGTAACTTAAAAGTAATCAAGTGGTCAGATTATATTACCATAAATGCAATTGATTGCATTACTAACTACAATTTTTGTGACGTAATTTGGAATCAGTAACCAGCTACAATATTTTATATTCCGACAAGAATATAAAATATGTTTATCAGTTAATCTGTTATACTGTTAATCAGTTACTTACTGAGCTGTCTAACACCATATTTATTACAGAACCCAAAACACTCACACATCGGCGAGCAAACTTTTTTTGGGTACAGAAAGAGTGACACTCTTTTGTCTCATGACACGATTTTGTGTTCCAGTAGAAGTTACATGTATCTCTCTGCGCCATTGTCGTCATCTTTTTATTTTCCGTTTTATGAAGGGTGACAATACCACCACTCACTCTGTTGGAGTATCAACCAGATTAAATTATTTAGAAAATTATCAAATGTGTAGTATTAACATATCATCAATATTTCATTTTTTTCAAAAATATCTTGGTTATCGTCAATACTAGTATATCGTGACATCATTAATTCCATTTTATAAATTAATTTTTATAAACATCAACATGCAAAAGTGAAATGGACTTAAATAATAAAATGCTAATTTTAAGTGCAGACCTCGTTTTGCTAAAGTTAAATGCTAATCTACAAATCTAAATGGAGTTCCCATGGGACCCCATGACTGGAAAATGCAAATCCTCTTCCCGGTTTTAAGACTACAAACTGAACAGCTCTGTTTGCATGGTGAAATTAACTTCCCATCTCATCATTACCATTCTCAGGAAGCAGTTGGTACACAGGACTTCATTTAAAACCGGTATCTATGTGCATTGTCTATTCATTATGGCAGCAATTACTTATCCAATGATGGAGAAAAACGTTATAACCGGCCATATATCCATATGTTTGGGGTATAGTCGAGCATTTTAAAGGGTAAATTCAGGTGTCTGGATTGCAGTGGTTGAGAGATGCTGCACAGTGATGTTTAGATTTTGTGGCAGCATTTGTGCCATTATCTGATTTGCATAATTACAAAATAATTAATACATTAATTATATTAATAAATTAATACAAACAAATTAATCCCCCCATAATGAATCCCCCCTTAATGTTACACAATATTACATTTTTCGACACTCTTGATAATATAAAGTTGAGGGAAATTAAAATCTCAATCATGAAACGCACGTTATTGAGTCACATGTTTTGCAGATGTTTGCCAGTACTGAACTAGGAACATCAAGGTCACTGAGTGTTTTATCCACACACAAATATAAGTACTACCTCTAGAAGCCCCCACTGCTCTCCTGTTGCCTAGATACAGCAGTACTCTGTCTCTAGGTTATTTTAAACCTTTTAAGTAACTCGTGTGTGTGTGTGTGTGAAATGTTTGTCATATGTTGAACATGGTGGATATAATCATAACTATACTTTGTTCTCCTTGTTTTAATGAAATTATTTATATGACATGCCACTTAATTTTTTATGCATACTATATTGGTAATATATCGGTTAGCGCTAGAGATTTTTAGCATTTTATTTACAATATTTAAGTGTGTTTCCTCTAAGATGTTTGCTGTCGTCTAACACTCACTTAGAATTAGTCTTTAAAAACACAAACAATTTGAATCACTGTTAAATGTAATCTTTAGTCTCAAAACGAATATCCATAGTTCATATTGTACTTTATAATGTATAATATTATTTTTTTGTGATTTATTTCTATACTATTAGACAAAATAACCTAGAATTTTAATATTGGCCATCATTGCTTATTACCCATAACATGAATATCTCTGCTCATCAGTAATCGGCTGAAATTTTAATACCACACATTCCTAATTCATCTCTCATGTAGATGTTTATTTTTTATGGTAGTGCTGTCATTAAATGCAACATGTCATGGTTAAATAGTCCAACCTTTTAGAAATGCTTCAAGTCTGTAATAGATATTTTCAACATGCAAAGGTGTTTCAGACAAGGTGTTGTGTTTTCTCTGTAAACACTGCTACAATAACCTGGTCTCTCACTAAAATGTTTACTGCATCATTTGTCAAGGTGCTCAGAGATGACATCTCAAAACCGTTGCAGATGGGACCAGCATCATCTGTAGAGCTAGCAGCAGTTTAGTGATCACAACCCCCCAAATCTGCCCTTGCCAACTCACACAGATGTCTACCAAGCTGAAGCACGATGAGTCTGGCGCATGTGCGCTATCTCCTCAAAGATAATAGAGTTAGGGCCTGTAAACACACAGCCGGCTTTGTTGAAGAAGGCAAGGAAAACGCTGCTTTAAACTCAAACGGAGATGGAGGGAAATTCAATTTGTTCCTGTATACGTGAGATATTTGAAGAAGCACAGAGAGAACAGGTGATATCAAGCCAGTTCCAAGACAATCCATACTCTCATCTCCTTCCCTTTTCCTGCCTTATCATCAATGGCGCAGTCATGCTAGACAACACTAACAGAACGCACTGTCCATTTCTCCCTTCTTATCTGGGGGTTAGTGCTGCTCGGTGGAAGATAAAGCTGGTTTGCTCTGTGGCACGAGACAATTTCATAGCTGCCAAGATGCAGGCGTCAGGAGAGGCTAGAGCGTTGGTGTGGCCAAGGCTGGAGAGGCGTTTCGAAAGGCAATCTGATACAGTCTTTTAATGAATGCCAGTGAATGCAGTGGCTGTCTCACCGCTCCTTCAATGACAAACCTAATTCTGGCTTCAGTTGCATAATAATCCAAGTACTGATTCTATAATTAGAAAATCTCTTTTAATCTGTTATTATTTTACAGAGAGCTGTGGAATGAAAGATTTCTTTGGACTAATATTGACAGCAGTGAAGGGAAGAGTGTAGGTAGTATGCAAAATTATACACAATTTTTCATACTGACAAAAGCTTCAGTGAATATCAAGCATGTCTTTCTACGTTTGCTCCAATAGAGTCCAGATTGTAGTCTTGTTTTAGTTAACGATATGCATTGTTAATATATTATGCTAATAGAATGCAGTGAGCCAAGATCAGTGTCTATATTTATCTGCTCATCTCTAGATATAGTTTACTCTGTGCCAAAAGCATTTTTTTGCTTGCTCAAAATACATGGTGTTAACACAAACGGACAAATCTTGATACATATTTTGACAGTGAAGCAAAATGCATTATGTTTTTTTTAACACCAGCATTCCTAGTTGGAGACTGGGCCGTAATGTACGTGCAAATGTGATGACGGCACCAATTATTATCCAAACCCATGACCAGAAAGGGCAACCAAGCATTCACAATAAATGCAAATACATTTAAATACATAAACTGTCTTTTTAACTTTGTCTTGGATTAATTTCTTTGAGTTTATGTTGCTTTCCTGACCCATTTAAATGTGCCAGCTTGATTTTATTAAAACATCTAATTTGCTGAACTTTTGCATGGCCTAATTTTCCACAGTCAGGCTTTATTAGGTGGTTGGTCGTTTGTTTTTTGGGTTTTTCTACATTTGTGCTGCTCGAACACTGATGTGTGATTATAGGGGTCCGCATTGATCTAGCTTTTGCTTTGAAAGCAGGTTCCTTTGGATGAATTGGAGATTTGATGTCTTTGAAGTTGAAATTCTGCTGCCTGCAGAATTCGTCCTTCATATTGACCAGAAAACTTATCATAACGCTGATTGTTGTTTCAAAGGATATATATGTATATAGATGCACAGGCTTTGATCCTATTCCTCTATGTAAAGGACAGGGACAGGGAACTTATTTAATTCAGTCAGCATGATTAAATGAGATTGTCTGTTGAAGTTGGTAAGTGCAGCATGACCACCCAGATCTCTTTTTAAACAGAATATCACCTTTGATCTGCATTTGTATTACTGATGAGATGACTTTTAAATGCTCAAATATTTCGATTTAACACTGTAATGGCACTTAGCAGCATTTTGTTTTCTAGTTGTTATTAGTGGAGATTTAAAGACATTAGTCAATAAAATATATAAAAGAATCCATGCTGAAGAATCTGATATTTTGTGAGGAATTTTAAAATAGCATTTTTTTATGTTTGAATAATAATCATTTCTGAATTAAGTCATTTTGATTTTTTTTGTGGCATAACGTAAAACATTTCTCATTTAATGGATGAAATTCTTGAAAAAAAAACCCTTTGGACGAAAGCAGTTTGTAATAATCTTTACTTAACGCTGCTAAGGAGAAAAAAGGAGCATTGAAGCAGATTTCTTTTTAAATATTATAAATATTTGAAAAACTTCTGTCTTCCAAATCAAGCCACATGGTGTGAATTATTTTTTAAAAACTATTTATTTATTTTTTTAAATTAAGTTTTTAAACTAATCATTAATCGAGATACCCTTAATATCAATATAGTTTTGGCATTAGCATTTTGCCAGTAACCTATGTTTCCAAACTTCTGACGATGGTCATTTTTAAGCGCTAAACCACAACGCTACAAAAAGCGTAAGAGGAATCCTAGCATGTTTGGTATCTGTGGACTCGGCACCCCCTCAAGGTATCGTACTGATGAGCCATGCCGAGTTTCGTAACAATTCGTTGATGCGTTCAAAATATAGCATTTTAGCATATAATTCAAAATGGCCAATCTGGGAAAATTGGATGTCAGTCGACTTGTCATGACGCCCTAAATCTAACGAGACCACTTTTATAATTTTTTGACAAACTGTTAAGAAGTTATGAGCAAAAATAGCCATTTTTTCATGACGGAAATGATCTCATGGGGTGCAATCGAATCTGCTTGAGCCAAGGAATAAGACGACAAAGGAATTGTGAATTCTAGCCATTTTGGTTCAAAAGTTATTTGCATAAACATGAAACTTTGGACAGTTGCTACTCAAGCCGACAGTTGGTGGCGCTAGAAGAATTGAGTTGGAGACTCGAAATTTGCTATGAAGACTTTTCAGACTGTCCTCTATCAGTGTACCAAATTTCATAACTTTCCCACAAGCGGTTGTATGGGCTGCCATAGACTCCCAGTCGAAAGAATAATAATAATAATAGGAACAGGAACAGATACAGTAGGTGCCTCCGCACCTCCGGTGCTTGGCCCCTAACTATGAATGCGAAAACATTTCTGAAAGCTTGGGAAATTTTGTATATTAAACAAATTTCCTTTATTTTATCTGGGGAACTATGATTTGTCATTGACCTAGATAATAGTCTAATAAAAGGAGGAATTTGCTTAATTCTGTTCAATTAATTGTTAAAATCAATAGATCTGAGGAGGCTAGGAAAGTACTCACCTTAAGAATACAAATGCTACTGAGGAACGATCATCTTTCATTAAACTACCTATCAATGTGTCTGAAACACAGGAAAAAAGCTGTCAAATTCAAACAGTTCCTTTTTGAGGAGCAATCAGTCGTTTTCTTTTATTAGTTTCTCTCATGCAAGATGCCATCACGTGACATGCAGGCAAGCAGGTACTGATAAACAGCCTGAAAGAAAGAGTCAAATGATCTGAAATGGTACATGTTTATTCATTCATTGCATCTCTGCATGGCGAGAGACATATAGTGAAACTGGTTGTTCAGTTCTAATGAAATTCACAGCAAGCCATCCAAAAGCTGACTCTCAGCAGAGTAAAGTCCATTAATATCAAATGGTTTAATTTCCTCTAAGAAAAGCATAGCTATCCAATTTAAACAATTGGTGGTTGTGGCTTTGATCTACCGGATTACAAAAGGCAGTTCCTCAACGTGAGGTTCAGATAAGCACCGGAGGAAAAACATCCAAGGATATTGAAGCTGAGAATCAGGCGTAAGGAAGCTATAAGTAATAGTAGAGCACTGTTTAGTGAAATAAGGGAAGGTTGCGAATCTAAATACTTAATTTAACTATGATCACTCAAGGTTTTTCTAAATGTGTCCAGACTAAGCAACTTCAAACTCGTCGTCTCTATTTGTCCTCCTCCTCCTCCTCCTCACAAAAACACCCAGAATTTTCTCTAAGCTGAAGAAGGAACATTTGAAGTTCAGTGTTTAGCTGTTTATAATTCTGAGTAGGAGTTTCTAAGTGATATGAAAGCAGATGTTCATCAGAGCTGGAGCAGAACAGCGGAGACCCCCTGCTGAATGTGGAGACAGAGCTTCTCCTCAGGAGTACGTGACTCAACGGAGCATGTGGGTTTTTTCCAAATCAAGACTTTACTTCACAGAATGTTACAGTATTGTACCTCACTAAAGTGATATTCATAGAACAGCATCACTGTCTTAAAACACTGATATTTTGAAGAGGTACAGATGCTTCGACATATTGTGCTGCAACAAATGTGGTATCCATGCAAGCAGCTGCCTGTTAGAAATACTTAATTATAGACATATGAGTCTTTTTATTGGGATTTTTTTTTTGAAGGTCTGACTGTGCTGCAGAAGATTTTGGACACTGCTTCTGAGAAGACCTGGCAGGTGACATCCATAAACTTTGACACCCTGACAGAGGCGGCATTCTTGAAAACCATCCAAGATCTGGAAAATAAGAAGGAGTACAAGATCATTCTGGACTGTGAGCTGGAGAGACTCAATTCCATTTTAAACTTGGTAAATGCTTTATATATTTCCTAGGGTTGAACAAAGATTAGGAATTGTGTTTTGATTTTGATGATTTTTGTATCTAGTGTATTTTACAATGACCCAGACAGAATTTTTACATTTTCTGCATAGATTTTGAGGGAACTAGGTAAATAATTTTAATAAAACACACCCACACCATATAAGAGCATTCCGCACACCCTTTTCTTTCATTTCTCTCTCTCTCAGCAAACATGAAGCTCTCTAAATGCTAAAAGTGGCATCCTCAAAACAAGTTCATACGCAATAAACCCCTTTTAGACAAGACCTCTGATTAGCAGCTGTACATACGCATATCTGCATCTTTATGCAGAGCTACATCGCTTCTTGAGCTATAACTCTATTACTTTTTTTATATATATATTTGATGAAATATATTCAAAATCTTTATCTCTGTGTTTAAAATGTCATCTTTACATGTTTATAAGGCCAACAAAAGTATGTTGTTATTACATTTTTTCCCGTAAATTTAGAATAAATTTAAGAATTAAAGTTAATGATGAATCATGATTTGTTTTTGAAGTGTTTGTTTTCAATTAAAAATGTGTGCGTACACATGCTTAGTAAATGAGGCCCATTGAAACAAATTACTTGTATAAATTGAATTAAATAAATAATATTATTATTGATTTATTTATAATCCTATTATCTAATTACAATATGTTTATAATGTGCTTAATGTACAAAATTACAGTACCTGTCAATTTTGGGAACATTGCAATTAAAGGTTTCTAATGCTCGCCAAGGCTGCATTTATTTAATAAAAAACAGTTATATTGTGAAATATTATTACAAATTAAAACCCTTTTTTAAATGTAATTTATTTATTGTGACGGCAAAGCTGCATTTTCTGCATCATTGCTACAGTCCCATGATCTTTTGAAAAAAAGCAGCACATCTCTTTTCAACATTGATAATAATAATAATAATAATAATAATAATAAATGTTTCTTGAGCAGCAAATCAGCATATTAGAATTTTTTTTAAGTATCATGTGATTTATTTATTTATTTATTCATTACTTTTTTATTAAAATAATGCATTTAATAATGCATTTATAATAAAAACAAACTTTATTAGTAATCACAATCAGCGGGCAAATATCACAAGTTGAATGTGATGGAAATGCATTAGTCAAAAAGGGTGGAAACTGCTGTGGAGTTTCATCTGACCTTAAATTTTAGCAAAGAAAAAAAATATTTTTTAACATTAAAAAAACACAGACTTAACAAACATATCAATATGCTTCCTATTACAACATTGTACTGCTTTACATTTATTCCCTTGTTAAGCATTTATTTTGTCCGCTCTATCCCCATTTAAATTCTTAGGACATTTCTATTTTTATCTTTCAGAATGCACAGTGTATTTTCTCGACTTTATTGGCTAAAAGTTAATACGTTACTCTGGGACATCTCAATTCATTTTTAGATAGTTTGAAATTTTATGTTGAGTTAATTATAGAACATTACATGTCGTCTTAAAAAGCAGATGATATTTCTGTACACACATCTTTCTCAGAGAGGAACAATGAATTCCTCCTTCAGGCACACCAAGGCAATTACTCTTCTCACTAGTAATCACCATCCAGACTGTCAAGATCTCAAAGAAACCACTGCCAAACCAAATCATCAGAAATCAGTATCCAATACAATTAACCCTGACAGTGTGCTTCCAGAGGCCCGCTGCTGTTCACAGGTGTTCCTGTGGTCTTCATGCACATGTAGTCATTAAGTCCTATTATTGGACTTCCCATGGTGACAGATGCCAAATCTTTCTTTACTCCCTTCCATCTCGTGTAGTTCCAACTGCCCCTTCTGATCACAGATATATTCCACACTCGGTGAGCTTGGGAGAGTGTACAATTAAGTCTCGAATGATGGGACTATTCCCGAACCTATTCATTTCTATTTAGAGAGCCAGGCTAAAATTGATACTTTAACTGGCGCTGAATGAAAGAGGACTGCCATTAGCTGATGGTGAGGGAGAGGTGCTCTTTTACACTCTCATGCATGTTGCATTTGTCTTTCAGATTGCAGCGCAAAAAAAGAACATGAAGAATTATCACTACATTCTAGCAAACCTGGTAAGTGAAGCATCCTGTCTCTTTCTGCACAAATGAACTGTGAGCCTCGAGGCTGCTTAGGTTTAGATGTGTCGTCGGTTAACCACATGCACATTGACTCGAATCGCAAGGGAACGCTCAGACATTTTATTTTATTATTATAGCTTCAGTTTTTATATTTCTATTTCGGTTTCTATTTCAATGTAATTGATACTCTGCATTAAGCATTTCAGTGGAGTAACAAAATAACAGTTTAATTGGCTGACTGAAGAAACTGTAATATAGCACTCATGAACTGTGACTTCACAGGAAGCATTGTAAATGTATAATTGGGTTCTGTGAGGGAAGAAAAGAAAATACTCCTCACTGCAACACTCTTTTGCCAAGTGCATTATTCAGCAATGATAAAAAAAAGATATCATCCCATAACCAATTATGATGAAAGCAGCAAGGATGCAACACTTTGCATGATAGAGTCCCCTGGGGTTCATCGCTGCATGGGACACCCAAATGAGCAAACATACACACAAACACAGATACAATTAGCTGTTATCACACCGATAATATGATATTTACCCAGCATGCTATGTATGTCTATGCATGTCAGTCACTCTATCATTAGCTCGAACACTGATTCCATGTCATATTATACTGATAACCATACAGCCCTTGGGTATGTTTCTAGGATTTAGTCTAAGAGGATGTAATTAAGTCTAAAAAGTGTTCTGACTTTAATAATAGGTTCATATTGTGTTTTTTAGCTCTATTTGGCTATTTTCTGTTAATTTTTACTTATCACTGCAATAGATTCTAACTCACTTTATGTGTCGTAATACCCTGAATCCATTTCTTAACACAGTTATTTGCTTATTCTTTTTTCATTAGAGTACACGAATTCCTAAAACTTTCTATGTTATACAGTGGTATGTGAATAAATGGATGTTAAAAATGTGAATTAAGGGTGATTTTGATGTGTTTGTCTTCAGGGATTTCTGGATCTTAATCTCACAGAATTCAGGAAGGGAGGTGCCAATGTAACAGGCTTCCAACTCATGAACTACACAAATCCTACTGTCAGCAGGACAATACAGGACTGGCTGGAGTTTGACAGTAAAGACTTGAAAAGTCCCAAAAGGAGGCTCAAGGTAAAGCAAGGTCTTAAAAATATGAGTCATATACAAATATAATTGTAAATGTTCTCATGATGGACTTAAAAAGCTTGTCCTTCTGAAAACACCCATTTTGATCCAGCCTAGGTACAGTAATGCATTTTGGACGTAAAGATGATTGATCAAGGGAATGTTGCTACTTATACTAAACAAACATACCAACATATGTGGGTCTTTTCAGCAGGGCAAGATACTCACTGTGAAATCCAAATGTTGTGAATAAATTTCTTTCTTTTTTCTTTCTTTTCATTTGAAACCGTGTCTGTGGAACATCTCAGTACACTGGAGCACTCACGTATGACGGGGTGACTGTCATGGCCACTGCTTTCCAGAACCTGAGAAAGCAGCGCATCGATATATCTCGCCGAGGGAACGCAGGAGAGTGTCTGGCTAACCCTCCTGCACCCTGGGGCCAGGGCATCGACATTCAGAGAGCTTTACAGCAGGTAACCAACCCCCTTTTTACACCAAAATAATGCTAGTTCTCATGCCAGAGCTGGCACTTGTTCGGTGGACCTGTAAACCTCAGAACTGGTCTTGTATTTCTACTGACGTAGGACCGAATGATGAAATAACACACTATACGCTTCTATATAACCTGCCCACAAACAAAGCATCAGGGTCATCTTAACATCCAAAGTAATTTGATTCAGCATGTTTATGCAGTCACAAGCTGCTTTTGTTTCATCGGTTAACTGATGAAATTCTCAGCAAGCATTTAAAGATATGTTGTTTGTAAATGCAATCATTTTAGTAAGGCTAATAGATCAAATCGAGTATTATCGATAATGAAAAGTGGCGTCTGCCTGCTGTGCTCGGAAACATCAGCCAGTCTCTTGTTTTCCTCAATGCATAACTTTCATTTTATGGTTGTATCCTTATCTGTTCATGTTTGAAAGTCCCGCGAGTATTTACGTTTAACATATTCTGACAGCAAGCGAGTCTTATTATACTTCACAGACTTCAATGAACGAGCGCCGGTGCGTGCATACACATCAGATGGAGCGCAATATATCTGACTAAATATGTTTTGTTAGAAATTAAGTATAGTTTTAAAATTCTACATGTAACATAAGTAATCATATTTATTAGAGCACTAACAGTAAAGTTACAATTACAGTAAAATTACTATGTAGAGTGAATGTGTGTTCTTGATACCTCATACTGTACAAGTTAACATTTTTCATTATAATTTATTTAATTTTTTTTTGTGTGTTTAGGTTTAGAATGTAATGTTTGTATTTTAACCCTTTTCTTGCTTATAATGTACTGCATAGCCTACATACATTCAGTATATTTTTTTTCATAGGCTTTATATTACACATTGTTTGGAGGACAGCATTGGGCATTAAAAAAATCTTTGAAATAATTTTTTTTCATCCGATTAACCAATTCATTGAAAAAATTAGTGACAGATTAATCGAATATCAAAATAATCGTTAGTTATAGCCCAACATTTTAGACAAACTCCTTGTCAGCATTTCTTTTCTAATTGGGATGGTGGTTCAAGACCAAAAGTTTTTAGGGGCTTCAACAGAGCCTATTTGATCACCCAGATCTGGCCATTCAGCATTTAAAATGCACACGAGAATGGGAAATGGGAAAAATATAGTTTTTTTTTTTTTTTTTTTTTTTTTTAAGCTCCAAGTTGGCTGAGCTTGTGATTATTTTTAGTTGGTACATGTTACGTTCCCAAATGCATGTTATAAGCAGCCCAAACTCAGAGCACATGCAAAGATGAGTTAGTGTGGAGCAGAATTTACTGTGTATAAATCACACGGTGCTGCGCTTCAATCTGAAACATTAAGTGCATATATATATTTAATTAAATCACAGCCTTTGCGATTTGCTAATCGCCCTAAGCCATATGGCGATTTAAATTTTATTTTGATTAATAACGCAGCCAAAAGATAACTGTAATTTGGCTTCTTGTACAACAATGTAAAACTGATTTTACACCTAGTGAAGTTCTGTGTGTGCTAAAATGAAATTATGAATAATCTGATTATGTGTGATTCTCTCTGTAGGTGCAGTTTGAAGGACTTACAGGACATGTTCAGTTTAATGACAAAGGACATCGGACCAATTTCACTGTCAGTGTGATGGAATTTGGCCCAAATGGACCCAAGAAAGTAAATCAAATAGTTTTTTTCTCAGCTTGTACCCAAATGGGGTTCACACTAACCAATGCATGCCAATAAATGAACATTCTTACATCTCACTCAAAATTTGTAAACGCATCAGTGCTTGACATTCTCCTGACATAAATTTGTGATGTGATGATAAACCTGAGGATGTGCCTAAAACTTAGCACTGACTGTTGTGAAAGCGATTGAAGTGTTAGTCACAGGAATGCTTTAAGAGCAGTATATGCATTTCATGTGATTACAGCTCCTCTTAAGCCATCAATATGAATATTTATCATTCTAAAAATAGTGTCTCTGAAATTCCTGTGCACTGCTGTGATATATTAATCCCTTCTGCCTGCAGGTGGGCTACTGGAACCAACACGAGAAATATGTGAACACAGCTACTTACAGCGCAGTACTCAATGAGACGTTCGGACTGCAAAACCGGACCTACGTAGTCACTACCATCCTGGTGAGTTTTTCAATGCATCTCGAATTGGTATGAAAAGATAGTAGAGTTACAGTTAGTTATGCTTTTTATCCATTTTTCTTTTAAACCGTAATTCAAAAGATAGTGCCATTGTGTCTCTTTAGACTTCATACCTTTTCTGTTCTGATCTGGAAATGTGTCACATGATGAGTGTGGATTACAAGTCATCAGTGTCATCAAGATGAAATGGTGTGCGTGTTTTCATTTTTTTTGTTTGTAAGCACATCATGATCCTGAGGTGAGTAACATTAAGCTGAAGTGTGGATTTTTTTTTTTCACCAGTTCTCATTAAACAGGATTATGAACATGATTGTTTTGGTTATCCAAAGTTTCAACCCAAATTCTTTTCATCGGTTATCTATATTGCTCTGCAAGGCTATGAATTGTTACCAGTTCATTTAAATTACAAATGAGATATAGCTCTCTTTGCATTTTATATTTGTTTCCTCAAAGTAAAAATATAAAGGGTAATTGTGAGTTTAAAATTAAAGTAAAGGATATTTAAGTCAGCATTGTGAATATAGTTAGAGATATAGAGTCTTACTCAATGCTTTTTTATTTTTATCTACATTATTTAGTTTATATTAATTTTTATTTAGTTATTTCAGTAAATCAAGTTAAACAAAATAATGAGAAATGCTGCATTATAATCTAGCTGTAATAAAATAAGTTTTATAATTTATTTCAAGTAACAATAATTATTTTTATGGTTTTAGTTTCAGTTAACTATAATAACCGTGGTTACTACCTTTTTTTTAACTAAGATTGAAATGGGTTTCAGTTATATTTAAAATAGGTTCTGGGCTGCTCTCCTTTAGGTCCGTATTCACTCCTATTTTACTCTGTAGCCACAAAGAGCATACAACAAAGACATAAAAAGCCTTAACAATACTACTGGCAAGGTGTACATTGTGATATTTTTTGCCCCTGGTTGGTTATTACTTGTTTAATACTAAGAAATGATGCAAATTCTACAAAAATTGTCACCACATGATCCCACTCTCAGAATAGATTGTTCTTTGCCTCTGGGGTGAATCACCATCCTCTCAGGAAGGTGAGAGGTAGTGTGAATCTTTTGAACCATGCTGGGTTCGCTGTTCTGACATATTACGGTTTGACTCAAGAGTTTTGAGTGGCTATTAATCTTATTTCATTGGAACTCCAAAAAGAAATACCCACTTCCCTTAAGGAGTCTTCTTTGACTGTGGTTAGGCAGCTGGAGTATTGATTTTTTTTTTATAGTAGCCTACAAGACGGTTATACTACTATACCTATGTTGTTCATAGTTTACAATCATGTCACACATTTCATATATGAAGAGTTCAGATGCAAAAGCCTCTAAGTGCCATTTGAAATTTTTTTTTCTAAAATGATCATTTTTATCAAGCTTGTATATTTAAGTTCAGTAATTTCTCTTAAATTGCAATGAGGATTACCTATTAATTGTCATTTAAGTGAAATTACTGAACTTGAATATATAAGCTTGATAAAAATGATAATTTTAGAAGAAAATTTCCAATGGCACTTAGAGGCTTTTGCATCTGAATTCTTCATATGTACTTATATAATAGGGGTGTAACGAGATCTCTTGCCACGAGATCTCACAATATTAAAAATGACGAGATTTCTCGCCGAGGGGAAAAGCTATCTCGCGATATCGCCATGACAGAGCGTGAGGGTGAAATTAGCATAGAATATGACACCGTAACATTTTGCTTTTTTATTTTTTATATAGTAGTAAAAAACTTTAACTTAATTTCACTTGGATAACAGTCGCCTTAATTGTAAACTATTGTAAACATCTTCTTTGCTTATCCAGTACGACCTGCAGAGTCGCACACAGTGCAGCGGGAATCACAGTTCACTAATCACGTGACAAGAGCAAGGCGAGATGACTAACAAGAAAGACCATGACGGAGGATTCATTGCACAACAGAGCCTAAGTGTCTGATAAATGTCTTATCTTGTAGAATGCATGCTCCACACCACCGCTCTCTATACACAGAGTACGAGTGATCGCGAATTTGAAAGTAAAAGTAAAACGCAAGCTCCCTGATGCATGCAAATTAGGCTACATATGATAACCTGTCTTCCGATATCAAACCTATCTTATGCTAGGCTGTGTAGTTGTAGTTGTGCTCTTAGCCTCTTAGCACTTTGAATATTGAGAGAGTACTTTTATTATGGTTGCACTTATTGTTTGGACTAACACTGTTTTTTTTATTCTTATTTATACTGTTTTTATTTCTTTGTTCAATTTGTGGAAAGGAGGTCACACACAGCCTCAATCAGAAGTTCTAGAAGCTCATAATTGATTTAAAGTAAGGTCTGAACTAAAGAGACTCATGTGAAATCATAGAGGAGAGGAGCCAGTCAGTTGTGTTTGTGGCAAAACCCTTTACAGTGCTCGGGTATGGTTGTCTTTCAATCCATATGATAATTCCTACTCCGAATGTAGATCTGAAATTACATTAAGATTAATTAAAACATTTAAAATAGCACCTGCAGACTATTTTTCCAGTCATAAATTTTGTCATCGAGGATTTCTTAAAAATTCTGTCTCGTTCTTGTGAACCCGATCTCTCGTCTCGTCTCATGAGCTTAGTGTCTCGTCACACCCCTAGTATATTTATACTGTACATGTACCTAAATTGTTTTTGGATGTTTTTTTCTGTTGATGTTGTTCTGTGCATTCTATATGACTGAGCTGAAATGCAACTCTTCAATAATTTATTAGCCAAGAAATATGCACAAAACATTTGATGTAGCTGATGCAAGATTTCCTTTCAAGCCTCTTCAGCTACTCTGTCTGAATCATGGAGTAACCAAACAACTAGACCTATTTGGAAAGGGAAGTAACCTGTACCTGAAACATGTTGTTCGTCATTAGGAATCCCCATATGTGATGCTGAAGAAGAATCATGAGCAGCTGGTGGGGAATGACAAATATGAGGGTTATTGCGTGGAGTTGGCTGCAGAGATCGCCAAGCACGTGGGTTATTCCTACAGGCTTGAACTCGTGGGGGACGGAAAGTATGGAGCCAGAGATGCCGAGACATTGATGTGGAATGGCATGGTTGGAGAATTAGTGTATGGCGTAAGTATCTATTGTTGTCATTTCTGGTAAGGATTTATATTTATTTGATTATTTTAACCTTTTGTGTTTGTCTGTATTTTATTTTAATTAATTATATTTTATTTTACAGACATGACATATTGAATTCTTGTCTCTAGCATACAGTACATTAAGAGTCACTTTGCCTTAAAGCTGCATTTCAGGAATCTTTTCCGAAATAAGTAGAAAGCTGGCAAAGAGTGCCGTAGAAAAGAGAACAGCACACGGTGTGTCCGAACCTCAGTGCCTCAGGTTGAACAAAAGTTTTTTGTCTCATCACTTCCCTACTGCCAGAGCATGTTAGTGCAATGTCTGACTCTCTGGCAATTTTGCAACATAACAAAGTCTTATGACTGCTAACGAAGGCAAATGGCAAATTTCTAATAGCAAAACAAAAGATTCGCTTTTCTAGGCACTTCGTTTCTTATTCAGTGGATTTTTACCCTAAGGCTGCAGCGTTAGTGGCTTTGGAATGCTAAGCGGTGTCAGATGTTATATGTCTTTATTGGGCTAAATGCGAACACTCCAGCTCAGTGTTGTCGAGCAGTGTTTGTTAGATTTCTCTTTTGCTTGAAGAAAATATGGCATTATTATGAAGCGTAGTATACGAGGGATCTCTTGAGGATGCAGCATTGAGTAGAACTGACTCTGTAGTGATTCATAACACTTGAAGTTATTTATATGTTCAGCTGCTTCTAAAATGGTGGAAAATATTTTTGTTGGTTTGCACTTGATTTGTAATTCTAGTATTTTCTGAAAACCTACAGAGGAACACCCTTGATGTATGCAAACTGGATCACAAAGCATTGTGAAACACATTCTGAATGTTTGATTTCATCACTTTTTGAGAAGCTGTTGAAAACATGAATGTTATGCTTGTAAGTCAATGGGCACCCTATCCATGCTTAAAAATTGTATCATATTGTCTTGTAGAAAGCAGACGTAGCTGTCGCCCCTCTTACCATCACTTTGGTCAGAGAGGAGGTCATCGATTTCTCCAAGCCCTTCATGAGCTTAGGTATATCCATCATGATCAAGAAGCCCACCAAGTCCAAGCCAGGCGTCTTCTCCTTCCTGGACCCACTAGCGTATGAGATCTGGATGTGTATTGTGTTTGCCTACATTGGCGTGAGTGTGGTGCTATTCTTGGTGAGTCGATTCAGTCCTTATGAGTGGCACGCAGATGACGAAGAGGATGGAATGGAGCAGCAAAACCAGAACCAGAACCAACCATCATCACCAGAGGCCAACCAGTCACCAAATCAGCACGGCCAAAATCAGAATCAGCGAGAGGAGAAGCAGGAGAAGCAACCTGAACACAACAATGAGTTTGGGATCTTCAACAGCCTGTGGTTTTCCCTGGGAGCCTTTATGCAGCAAGGATGTGATATCTCTCCAAGGTAGGTGGAGATGAAAAAAAGAGCCATTTTGATCAGCATTGTCATAATTTTTTCCATCTTGCACTGCTACTTTTTCATTTGTCTCATACTCTGTGTGAGAGAAAATGGGTTGTAAAATAAATATGATCTCTTGAATCGCCTGCTGCATTACACCGTCCCTGAAATACATCTGAAATGCACATCATGATGAAAAGATTCTCAGGATATATAAAGATAGACTATTTTATTTGAAGTGAAGGTAAAGATTAGATATTGACTGATTTTTTTTTTATGACCAATACAAATACAGATTTTATGGTGTCTGATAACCTATATGCAAAACTATATTTTTTTCAGCTTTTTGACACAACGATTATAATGACATATACTAACTACTACATGATCAATGTACTACAACAATAACATTTACTACTAATGGTAGTTTGTTTATAATATAAATATGTATTTTATTTTATAATATAAATATGTTGATGTTATATATGCCATTATATTTATCCAATACTGTTTTGTGATTTTAAATATTTTAAAATGTATTTTTAGATATTTTTGGCTGTCTAATTGTTAAGCTACACATTTAAAACATTATTTTAAAAGACAGAGCCGCTAAATGGTGGTATTAATTGGTGCACTCAATATTAAAGAACCAAAACCTGATTAATTAAGGCCTTGAAAACATATAGCTAATGCATCTAAAAAGATTAAACAAATTTTAAAAAAGTGTATTTCTATCTCTACCTCTCAAATTTCTCTCAAGGTCTTTGTTTTGCAGTTGTAGTAAACCTTTCTTTGTTTGTCCCATGATTCTGTGGAATTGTCCGATGTAGGAATCATCCTGAGGTTCAGAATTTCCTGACTTTTCTACTCCAGGCATCTTATTTGATTCTGCCCTGTCTCTTTGACTGAACTGAAGCTTGTTCTCACAATTTTTTTTTAGCATTAGTCATGAGGAAAGCATAACCGTAACCAATGGTTAGGCTAGTGCTGACACCCCTGATAGGGTCTTCTAGCCTCATTATGTGCAGATTGGCCTTGAGCCTCTGGGTGTGCTGGCTCCTCTGCTAGTGTTTGACATTTTGGTTGGACATGTATATCCTTGGCTTGAGGGAAGGAAGCAACACACTCAAATTAGATTACACTGCCAGAGAGCGTTTCATGACAGATGTGATTGTCTGAGTCAGAGCACTCAGCTTGACAGTGTTTCTCCATGCTAGCTGAGGACTTCCATGGAAAAATTCTTCACCTCCCCTTTGAGCTAAAGGAGGAATGCTAAAGTTCTGGGTAGGAATGGGGCCATTATAAAATCATTAGAAATTCTGTGATAGTGTGATCAATGCGTGAGTCTTAGATTGAATTAACATGGAACTGAATCATCATGTTATTTTTTACCTAAGTGTTTTAGACAGTGATAAGGAAACATGACCAGTCTTTCATGCAGCTGAAAAAACAGCAGAAATTGAACATACATGAAAAAAACAGCTGGTTCAGAAATACAGGGGACAATGAACTCAAAATGAATAGAAGTTCAGATGAGAATGAACACAGAATGAACAAAACATACTTCTTTTTAATCCAAGAGAAAGAAAGATTAAATACAACGTTTGAATAATAAAGGAATCAAAATGACACAATATTCCACACAATTTTTCTGAAGTCATCGATTTGGAAGATATTTTAAGCGCTAAATCACAACGCTACACAAACAGTAAGGTGAAACCTACCATGTTTGGTATTGTTGGACTCGGAAGTGATTCAGGAACCTAAGGGGATCTGCCTGAAAATAAGTCAACCACACACAGAGCAATTGTAAAATTAATTTTACCACTAGGTGGCGCTGGTTCTAACCTTCTCACGCTCCTTCAGGGCATTGTATTGATGACCCTTAACCAATTTTTGTAACAATACGTTCATGCGTTCATAAAATACTGCATTTTAGTACAAAAATCTAAATGTCTGATATCAGACGCCTTGACGCCCTGAATCTAACAAGACCCCTTTTATTATTTTTGGACAAATCGTTATAATCAAAAATAGCCATTATCATATCTCCAGACCAGTAGGTGGCGCTGCGCTAAAACACGCTTCAGGTCATGTGATGAATATGTTAAAGCGCTGCGGAGATACAGCCTTAAGTCTGTTTTTGCAAGCGCTATAAAATTTAACTTGAATTCCGTAACTTTTTGTTTTCACTGTCTGAAGGTGATCTGGTTCCATTTTCGTGAAAATCGAAGTAACCGTCTAGGAGGAGTTCAAAACAGTAGATATTTTTCCTGGAAAAATAAAATCTAAAATATCTTAAACTGTGTTCCAAAGATAATTAATGACGTCAGGTCTAACTAATCCTTCAAGTCTTGTCTATGAAACAGGCGGCTATAGTTTTACATAAAGTTGCTTGTTGTGTGTTTTTTGTAATGTGAGGCTATTTGTCAACCATCTCAGAATCCTTTATTTACAAAAAAAAAAAAAGAAAGAAAGTTATTTGGCATGAGTGTTTTGGTAATGAGGATTGTGTTGGCCAGACAGAAGGCACCAGGGTGCTTACAGTATTTATCTCTGACAGAAAATGTGTTTGTCCTCGACAAATGTCAGAGCTGCCACTCTAGAGCTCTGACTGTTCACATTGTTATTCACTCCAACTCGTCTGTGCCATTGCTTCATAAAAATCCCAGTTACCTCATCTAGCCTTTCTGATTCTGATTAGTTTCTGATGAGGTGCTTATGAAGGGATTTCATTAATTCATTATTTCTTATAAAGGTGCCAAAAACAAAGTCTCTTTGACATCTCTAGAGACAGGTAGCAAATAGAGAAGCTACAATAAGGACACGGGCAATCAAAGCAATTAACTCGGTTCGAGCTGTGTGCCGTAATCTGAACTCATGAGAAGATGGCACAGATGATTAGCAAGCGCAAAATGTGAGTAGAGAATTGCTGACGCCCAGCAGCCTGACACAGCTCTGATGGTTTATAAATGAACTCGACACACGGTATGATTGCTGCTCCTTTTTTAGTGGTTCACCCAGAAGTGGGAATTGCAGACTGTTTACTATGCATATAATTCACTGCTATCACTGTCACGTCCACTTTGCATCAACACTGTAGCATCATTTGAGTGTTGCAACAGCTAGGCTATGTAAACCGTATGCTTATGGGAACTTTTTCATATTCTGACTGCTAAAAACCACCTGTTAATTGAAACCGCCTGTGTTCGTCTGCAGAGAGATGTGTGCTTTATTTGAACACACATCTTGTGTACTGTAACGTATTTTGTTTTTAACGACGTCAGTTAGACCACAGATGTCAGTTTTTTCACCAATTTTTGCCCTCATTACTGTAGACAGAATGACCTCTCCTGAACTACTACTGTGAATCTTCATTCTTAGAAGAAAAGGTTCTATACAGTATAGAACCTGAAAAGGTTCTATCAGCGCTACGTATTTGGAACCCCTAAAAGGTTCTATACACTCTTAAAAAAGGGTTCCTCTGGGTTCTACAGTATATAGAGCCCTGGGGTTCCATACTTGGCCAATAGAACCTTTTACCAAAAAAAAAAAAATGGTTCTATATAGAACCATTTTGGAGTTCCATATATGAAGTGGGGGATGGAACCATTTCTGGTTCTAAATAGAACCATTGAGTGTTGAGTGAATAGAGTGTTGGTATGAAGAGTACTCACCATGAGGGATGGTGTAGACGTGACTTCTAAGAAAGCTGTCACATAAAGGCCCTATGAATTTTCCAATGAGTTAAATTGGCCTGAAGGCGGTGATCTGTCTGTTCACACCTGCTGAAGAATAAACCAAGAGCACTCCAGGATATGAGCACCGAGAAGTGTGTGTGTGTGTGTGACAGAGAAATAGAGTACCCCGAGGAAGCGATACATGTTGTGTGCCTTAGGAAAATTATTTGAGATGTGGAGTGTGTCTTTGTGTCTGTGTTTATGCGGGGTCAGACCATCAGGGTTTCAGCGAGTTCAACCCAGGCGCCATGGTGCCCCCTTCCTCCCGCGGGCCTCCGACTGTCACTTCAGCTTCGTCCAGATTCCCTTTCCCCCCGTACAAAAATACTCTCCGGTTTACAAACACTTCAATACACAATGACACTAGCAGGTCACATACACATTACGTTTAGGTCACAAGCACATTAGTGTAATTTCACAATACAAACACACATACACAGGAGCCTGCAGGGAGGTCTTGCTCGGGCCTTTCCCACTGTCGAGGTGACCTTGCCATCCTGAGTGTTTGGAAATGTTCTGCAGTGTTTAACGGAACTGTGACACCGAAGTACCAAGAGATGATCAGCATGTCACAACGTTTCCAACAGCGCGCTTCACAGTTTCTGTAATGGAACGGACATTTTGCAGCATTACAATGTAGAACGACAAGGAGACTATTATTTTTAGTTACAGCTCTATTGTGGATCGTCGTGTCTCCATGGAGACGTGATTGAATGTGTTTGAAACAGTGTTTTTCCATGAGAAGAACCTTTTACTTTGCTTTCAGTGTAGGAGTGACCCATATTCTACGGATTAGATTGATAATTCATTTTGAGTGTTCATTAGGGGATTTGCATGGTGTTCTTCTAATGAGCAAGTTGTGTGTGTTCAAATATTTTAAAGCCCCGTAATAGTTTCTTGACATCTCACATATGAAATGCAGATACAGATATCCTTTGGCTATTCTGCTTTTTTAAGATTTGACTTTTTCAAAAAAGTATGATTTTATGGCGACAATTTTTTTTTGCAAACGCAATACTGACTTTTGTTACAAAGGTGGACGTACCTCACAAAACAGCTGAGTGGATGTGCGAAAATAGGAAGACATGTCTGGTGAGAGAGAGAGACGAAAGATGAGCAGAGAACACCAGAAAGAGAGACGGTTTAAGCTGAAGTAGGTAGAAAGTCGAGACAGACCCATCATTTTTGAGAGGTGGAATTTGAATTTATTTGTTACACTTTTTTTCGTTAACTATATATATAAATATATATATATTACAGTAAAGACATTTATAATGTTTCAGAATTTTTCTGTTTCAAACAAATGCTGTTCTTTGTTCAACAAAAATATGAAGTAGCTGTTTTAAACAGTGATAATAAAACAAATGTTTCAACTTAGAAATAAGAGCAAATCAATTCAGCAAAATAAAATGATTTATGAAGGAACATATCATTTTAATATTTCACGAATATTACTGTTTAATGTATTTTTGATAAAATAATCTTTTACAAAAGTTAAGTCCCTCTCGAGTAATTTCCCTGCATTATACAATTAACCGATATCCATTTTACTTGCTAAAAGTTAAATGTTAAAGTAACTTACATGCTAAAGTTAAATGTGTGCTGTTTTTTCAAAAATAATAGAAGGTATAGTTCTGTTAATTGCAGTTAAGTGGAATGCAGACTTTTATTAGAAAGCATGAACTATAATTCTGCATGAACTCTGTTTCGGATCTATTAACATTCCAACAATGTTCCAACAACTTTGTAATGCAGGACATTTTGCTTCCCTATAAAAATTCGAAGTGCTTTATCGGCACCTTTAATATAACTGATAATATCATTGGAGGCTGTGAAGAGAATGTTGCGGAATTGTGCGCAGCAGGTAATGGAAAGCAGAACTTTAGTGCAAGCTTGGCAGGACTGGATCTTTGATTAAATTTAAGACGGAGCATAATGTTTTTAACATTTGAGGACAGTTACGTAGATTAATAGACATCGAGGCATCGAGAGGTCACAGATTAAACCAAGTCATTTCTTGTGGAAAAAGAGCATGAGGGGTTATATCATGTTTTTAAAATATTATTATTATTATTGTTGTTGTTAGTTATACAAGCAAAAGTCAACTTTTAATGTTTAACTATTTTTTTTATTTTATTTTTTAAGTTTCATACTTTTAATTTACTCAGCATAAAAAAGCTGGCTTGTGCATTACTTGTCTGAATCCATGAAAACAAGCTGTTTTCTCAATTTCAATCATGTTTGATGTTAATGTTATTGCACAATTTAATATATTCAAAATGAAAAATACCATCTTAAAACATGTGCTTTCAAAGTACTGGGAATTTTTCTTGTATACTGACTCTCATAGACTGTTCAGTTTCAGGATCAGTTTTACTACAGTAGCTCTTTTTCAGGAGAGAAACACAATTATATATTACAAAGACGTTTTATTATAACTTCAGCAGTCCCCCGGTCTGTTTATTAAGCTCAAAGGTGATATTTCAGACATTTTGAGCTGTGATGATAATTAAATTCTGCCATACAAAGACTGTAAATGACTTTACTTTTGTTTAAACTCTGATCCAGATCTGATTTATGACTAGATTAGCCAATAAGAAGACTTTTTCATCATATATGCCTGCTGATAGAGTCTTTTATCTTTCCACTGTGTGCACAGCTAGAAATGGAAAGCATATTAAAATTCAGACACTTCATTATAAGTCTAATTTGATAGGGATCACTGCAATATTCCAGACAATTAAACACCTGTTTGTAAAACTGTACCCCCACCAGGTCTCTCTCTGGTCGGATAGTTGGAGGTGTATGGTGGTTCTTCACTCTGATTATCATCTCCTCGTACACAGCCAACTTGGCTGCCTTCCTCACTGTGGAAAGGATGGTGTCACCCATTGAGAGTGCCGAGGATCTAGCTAAGCAAACAGAGATTGCTTATGGAACTCTGGATGGAGGATCCACCAAAGAGTTCTTCAGGGTAAGAGAAAAAGTATGTTACTATACTCTTATTCAAAATGTGCAAAATTTTTGCTTTTATCAGTACTCTCAAAGATCGTGCCTTAGCTTTGTACCTTATCTACCACTAAAAGGTGCTTATTAATACTTCGATATACCAATATTGACCTCTAAAGTATTAATATGCACCCTTTAAAGAAGATAAGTTACAAATATGAGGGTACTACCATGGTGAGAAGCTTTTGGTGCCCTAAAGGTAAATTTTTTGCACATTTTATCCATACACCAAGAATACAAACAGAATTGTTCTAAATGTCCTGAACTGACATACTGAAGGACCACAATATCAGGTACTTTGTGTATTTTAAATTCAAGTTTAGAAATGTAAAAAAAAAAAAGAAAGAAGGACACCTTCTGTCTATGTCTCTGTTTCACGTGGTAAATTTGCTACAGTAAGCCAGAAATTGATGTTTTAAGATGTTATTCAATTATATTCAACATCTTTCAAACCTTATTCATGTACACTACATTAAAAAGTTATGGAGTTAAAGATTTTTTAGTCTCTTATGTTCACAAAGGCTGCACATATTTTATCAAAAATACAGTAAAAACACGATATAGTGAAATAGTATTACACTTTTTTTTTATTATTATTTTTATTTTAATATATTTTAAAATGCAATTTATTCCTGTCGTGGAAAAACTGAATTTTCAACATTTGCTCCTCAAGAAACATTTCTTAATATTATCAGTTTTAAAAACAGCCCTACTTAACATTATTGTGGAAATCATGATACATTTTTCAGAATTCTTTGAGCTATGGCTTTTATTTAAAATAATAAACGGTATAGGTGTAAAGTTATGAAGTTATGAAAGTCTTTACTGTCACTTTTGATCAAATTAATGCATCCTTGCAGAATAAAAGTAATAATTTTTTTTTAAAAATTACCCTAAAGTGTAGTGTATTAAATGTGGTACAAAACAGCAGTTCTTTTAAACTATAACTTTTGATCAATGCATCGTGTACACAAAACATTTTGAGGCAAACACAGAACATCTGACTTCTTAACCTGACTTCATTATAAACCCCTTCCTCAGAGATCAAAGATCGCAGTATTTGAGAAGATGTGGTCCTACATGAAGTCTGCAGAGCCTTCTGTATTTGTGAAGACGACAGATGATGGTGTCGTGCGGGTGAGGAAGTCCAAAGGGAAGTATGCTTATTTGCTGGAATCCACTATGAATGAATACATTGAACAGCGCAAACCATGTGACACCATGAAGGTGGGAGGAAACCTGGACTCAAAGGGCTATGGAGTAGCCACACCCAAAGGATCCGCCCTGAGGTACACTTGAGCCCCTTAATAATTTAAACAAAAATTTCTTTTTTGACAATGATTATGAATCGTTAAAAGCATGAGAGTTTACAATGGAGAGATTTCTGAAGCTTTACAAGTGTGTAAAAGCTTCTCCTACAAATGGCTTACTTAGCTTTAAAATGAATATAGAATTTTTAAATGTCTATTTTTAAATTAATGTAACAAAGTAGCAACAACTAAAGTTAAATAAGACTTTGTCTTATCTTAAACGGATACTCCACCCAAAAACGAAAATTCATTTTTTTCTAACGATGATTTCTTCAAACGATCATTTTCTTCAAAATATATTCATTTGTGTTCAGCAGAAGAAATAAACTCATACAGGTTTGCAACAACTTGAGGGCGAGTAAATGATGACAGAATTTTCATTTTTGGGTGGAGTATCCCTTTAAGAGTTCTGTAGGACCAAGCTTATCATTTTTCTAAGAAGCATCTCCTCTGTAACCTCTGTGATTTTATGTGTTGACAGAAATTAGTTATAATTGTCTGTTTATGTTCTGTACCATCAACTCTCATTAACACAAAATGTATGCTCCTGCTTATTATAATTTCATCATCAAGATTGCTATTTTTAATGTTTATGTGTGAACATCACTTCTCATACTTGCATCTCTCCACTTTGACTAAATGCATTTCGATACTTCTGTTTTTTTATACATAAATCAAAGAAACATTAAGAGTTGATTTTTAACATCTAGACTCCATTTAACAATACATACACTACTATTTAAAAGTTTGGGGTCGGTAAGATTTTTTAAATGTTTTTGACTGTACCAAGATTTATTTAATCGAAAACAGTAAAACAGTTATATTACAATATCAAATAATCATTTTATTTTTATATATATATATGTGTGTGTTATTTATTCTCGGATGGCAACACTGGATTTTCAGCATCAGTACACCAGTCACATGATTCTTCAGAAATCATTCTAATATGCTGATTTGCTGCTGAAGATACATTTCTAATTATTATCAATTTTGAAAACCAGTTGTGGTAACTGTGACACTTTTTTAGGATTTTTTGATAAATAGATAACATCAGTTTATTTGGAACATTTATCCATTTTAATGAATCGCATATACCTAAAATATTGTCTCAAAGACACTTAAATTGCATTCTTATGACTCATAAAGGCCTTGCAAACAGTAACACAAATGTTTCTCTCCTACAAGTCTAAAGCTGATGAACGTAATTTTTTGACCGTTAACTTCTGCCATTTTCACCATCTTTCTCTCAAATGTTCTTCTCATGTGCTCCATTTTAGATGTTGAGATGGTTTTACCTATCATTATCCTCCCTGACATCCTTGTTGTCTTGTTGTCTTGTGCAGATTTCAGATTAATGTTCATGGATGAAGTCTGGCTTTGTTTTAGTCATCCATAAGCACATCGGCCTCTTTCTCCCCCTGTCTCGGGGGGTACAGAAAGAAGTCAGGGATTTTACAGAGAAAGACACTGCCACACATATGAGAATGGGCTGCATTAAGGCCACATTTACACATAGACGGATATTTCGAGAACCCCCCCCCCCCCCCTCCCTCCGTTTTCAATAATAACATTGTGCACACAACATCGTTTTCAAAACTGTTGTCATTTACGTCAACCCGCATAAATATGCCATTGAGCGCCATCATAACTATACCAAACCTATGGGCGGCAGTGTAGGGAGAAGGAAAAAGCCACGCAAGCCAATCAGAATCCGTGCTCTCCTTCACCTCTCTTGCTATAGTGGAGCAGTTGTATTTGCAAATGCAAACAGGCCAGAAGCGTTTGCACAACAGTAAAAATAAGTCCCACCTTAACAGCATACATGATCAGTAGCCAAACAAACTGTAAACATAGGGCGCTCACATGACCTTAAGTATTTTATGGCGCATAATGTGAGAACCTAAAACTGCGTTTCTCCCAGTTGACACTAAAACACATAATCGGTGTTAGCAGAAATCTCCACTTTGGCTGGAGTTTTTAGAAAAAATTATTTTCTGTAATAAAACAGGGTTTTCGTGTAAATGAGAGGCCAAACCGCAGGGAAATATCTCCGTCTTCCCGAATTCGTGTAAACGGGGCTTAAGAGCGCTCTGGGTTTGATTGCAATGTTGGGATTTCCCAAAATATGGAACGCAACCACGGCGTATTCGATTTTCCAGAGCTAATCTACAGTAATATTGACTTTATCTGGGAATCCTCTTACGCAGACCACGCTGTGACAAAGGTTTTAAATCCAGAGCATTGCTAATTCCTCCCGTTTCCTCTCCCACAATCCGAGGTCTTGCTCAGTAAAATCTCTCATAATTTGGTCACAGTACTTTTTTTTTTTTTTACACTTTAGCACAACACAAGACAACTAATATTACATCAACAAGCCCAGCAGAGCCAGGCACACAGTCAGATCAGTTTTATGTTCTGTTCACTTCCTCTACGACTTAATAGACTCACTTTTATTTAACACAACCTCTGCCTCGCCGTATCATATCACCAATGCTGACCCAGCTTATTTTATTATCATTTCAAGAAACCCAGTAAACCTGGCAGTGTTAAAACTGAACGAGCAGGGCCTGTTGGACAAATTGAAAAACAAATGGTGGTACGACAAGGGAGAGTGTGGCAGCGGAGGAGGTGATTCCAAGGTCAGCCCCAATATGAGCTATCCAGCGGGTAACCACCACCTCGGGGGGGTAACCGGCAACCTCAGTTAACAAACACCTCGGCTGCAGTTGTACACCAATTGAACGTATTACAACTCGTTTTTTTGTTTAAAGCGATTGAGGCATTTAAATGATTGACAGTCAATTGTAATATTGAGTATCATACTCAAAATTGTGCAAATCCGAGTGTTTTCGATCTCTTTTGCCGGTTACCCAAAGTGATATAGTAATACACATCTTGCAGTAGGGAGAAAGGTCACAAAAGCTAGATGGAGTATTAATGCATATCACTTTGGCAGTGACAGTTTTCAAACTCTGTGACTGTGCTGTTCTTTCCCTTTTTCTGCTTTTGTTTTGTTTGTTTTCTTTTTCTATTTATCTGTAGACATGTAGAACACATAAAAAAAAAAGAAGTAATTATGCGTGTATGTTTGCTTAAATGCTGAATAACATAAGATAACATGGGTAATGTTATTTATGTTATTTTCCTGGTTGAAGAATCCCCGTAAACCTAGCGGTGTTGAAACTCAATGAGCAAGCCGTCTTAGACAAACTGAAAAACAAATGGTGGTACGATAAGGGAGAGTGTGGAAGCAAGGACTCCGCCAGAAAGGTCAGTTCACTCATTGGTCCTTTCCCTCACTTAGAGATACAGCTTTAGTGCTTTACTAAAGGCCCTGTCCTCCTCTCTCTCAAACACACACCACAGCCAACGCTCTGTCTCCAATCTGCCATTTACCAAGAGAATTGTGCTTACTGTCATCACGTTGCTGTCTGGCCTCTATTACTTCCCACATTACAAAATAGATGTGATGCTTGTGGTGTATTTATAGAAATAGGCAACATAGTGTTTTTTGTCTTCACTCGCTTCAGTGCTCGGTTCTGAGCTTGCCGCATTTACAAATTATTGAGCTCATTTGGTCGCATTCCCTAATCGTGTGTACGTACATATTCATGTTTAAAACTCAAACCTCTTCACTTGAAAATCATGTGTTCATCAATAAATTCACTCGCTTAAAGATGAGATTGACTCCGGGTTTGATGGTAATATTATATTATATTATAACAAATATAAAATTGTATTATATAAATGTAGTACATTTTATATACAGTATCTCACAAAAGTGAGTACACCGCTCACATTTCAGCAAACATTTTAGTATATCTTCTCAAGGGACAATACTATAGAAATTAAATTTGGATATATTTTAGAGTAGTCAATGTGTTGCTTGTATAGCAGTACATTTAATGTCCTCTGAAAATGACTCAACATGCTGCCATTATTTTCAAAATAGCAGGGCTAGACAAGTTCGGTCCTAGAGAGACTTGGACCGATATCCTGCAGAGTTTGGCTCCAAAACTGAAAAAAAAAAAACCCTCTCCTGCTTATAGCCTTAGTAATCCTGAGGAAATTGATTTGCTTGTTCAGCTATGTTTGATTAGAGTGGGAGCTAAATTCTGCAGGACAGCAGTGCAGAATTGTCCAAAGTGTCAATATTTTTTTTTCTTTTTATTGCTCTAAAATATATCCAAGTTTCATTTCTATAGTATTGTCCCTTCAGAAGGTATACTAAAATGTTTGCTGAAATGTGAGGGGTGTTCTCACTTTGGTGAGATACTGTGTGTGTATGTATATATATATATATATATATATATATATGTGTATGTATGTATATAGTATAAGCAATAAGGAATGAGAGGCTATATTGTGAAAAAGTAACAGCTGAAGGGCGTTGTTTGGCATGACGCAAAGCAGAGTTAAATGGACAATAAATTAAATGGACAGTACATACATGTTAAATGATAAATGATAAAATCCATAGAATTTCAATAATTAAGAAAAACCAATATGAAACACTGAGGTGCTCAGTATAATTGCTGTTTGGTATTTTTTCATTTTTTTTTAAAGGTATCTGCTTCCTCCTAAACTCCTCCTCATAACAACAGCAACAGATAAAGCCTAAAGCCACCCATTCATCTCAGCATGAGTAAATGGCAGTCTGGAGAGAAAAGCGTTGCCATGTAATGCCCTCTAACAGGATTGCTCTTCCCCTTAGAGTCCTTCAATGCTGTCTTGTCTCTGTCCAAAGACAATGTGCATGCCAATGGATGAGACCTCAATAAGGTCACCAAACAGATGCATGTCACTGATTCCCACCACCCCTGACAGGTCGTCTCTGCCACCAGAGACAGAGAGAGATGCCAAAGAGTCTCAGTTATGACCCTTGGGCAAGAAATCTTAACACAGAAGCCAAGAAATTCTATAAACAAACAAAAAAAACTTGGCTTATACCTGCATGTTTTTAAATAATAAGGACTATATTTCATATCAGAGGTATAGTTCACATGTAAACAGGTAGATATCTTTGATTTTATTCATATTTTATTATCAAATATTAATATTTTTATATTTATTTATAATTCTTTGTTAAAAATTAAACCACTATGCCAAGTCAGAAAGTAACCGTTTGATTGTTTGTTCCAAGCTGACGCATGCGTTTGCATGATTTAGGAGGGATCTTTTCATTGCTGATTCATTTGAAATACTGTGACAGAATTAATACAGTTTTTATCATAATATAAATATATAGCGAATGTATAAGTATTTTAGATTTGGTTGAGGACATTAAGTGTACATTATATCCTATAGCTGTAAATATCATGTTGTGTGTTTATTGAATAGCTGTGATTAGAAAGAGATAATTTATGTTTGCTGCTGTCTTGTAGATTTGTGTTAATGTGTTTGTGTGACAGATCACAGTTCGAGTGTTTTATTGTCGTCTCTGCTCCGCAGGATAAGACCAGCGCTCTGAGCCTCAGTAATGTGGCTGGAGTTTTCTACATTCTGATTGGCGGGCTTGGGCTTGCCATGCTGGTGGCCCTTGTTGAGTTCTGTTACAAATCCAGAATCGAGTCTCGAAGGATGAAGGTGTGTAAAAACCATTATAACCCATTTAGCATCTACAGTCCAGTATAGTATAGTAGCTGTATTTATATCCATACACATTTAAAGGGGTAGTTCACCCAAAAATGAAAATTCTGTCTGTAATTAATTACGCACCCTCATGTTGTTCCAACCCCGTAAGACTTTTGTTCATCTTCGCTCGGAACACAAAGATATTTTTTATTAAATCTGAGAGTTTTTTTTAACTGAAGCCAGAACAAGAAGAGTGTTTGATAAACCTTTTAAATGGAGGTGATGTTGTGGCCCTACTCCCGACTGGTTTTGGGAAAAGTTTAATTTATCAATTGCTACCATTAGTTACGTGTGTTCCAAAGCTGAACGAAAGTTTTACAGGATTGGAACAACATGAGGGTGAATAATTACTGACAGAATTTTCATTTTTGGGTCTATCTATCACTTTGATTATGGGCTTTGCATTTGGCACTTATAATGTTTTATAACTTCTATCGTTTACTGACCTCACTTCCTCTGGGGGATCTGGCAGAGAAACGTGTTGGCATTTAAGAGTAATTGTGGGTGGGTGTAAACATCATACCACCCACTGAGCCTCTCTCTAATCCTGGAGCACATTGCTCTTGAATGCTTACAAAATGAAGAAGAATACTCTAACTTAGATTTAATTACCCACAAACCAATGTGGTGACTCATAATTTTAATTTAAGGTCTTTCAAAGGGAAATCTGAGAGGGAATTTTAAGACATGGTTTACGAAACACACAGCGTTGCATAAATAGACTTTTCAGACAGCATGTAGGAACCACAATTTTGGTCACACTTGACATTAAGTAGCTGTAACCTCTATGTAATAACTGCTAAAGAGTTTGAGGTATGTTTAGGAGTTGGGTAGGGTTACGGTTAGGGGTTACAGTAGGTTTTGGGGTAATGGTTGTGTTACTGTTAGGGGTAAAGTTAACAGTGTAACTACAAATGTTATTTAAATGCAAGTACATGTCATTTCAACATAAAAAAAAACTGTATCAAAGACCACCTAATATAAAGTGTGACCACAATTTTAAAATGATTAGATTGCCTTGATAACTTGACAACATACATTCTTTTCCTGTGTTTATTTCTTACTGAAACAGTACATGTTGGTGGGAAATATAAAAATAGACCTAATATGACTGTTATTTATAGTAGTTTCTTCGAAAAGAGTTTAGAAAAATCTTTCGATTTTGCCCATACACTGAAAGTCAATGAAAGTCCCTTTCACTGAATGGACAAAAATAATTGAAAGAATCTTCCAAATGTGTTTTCTGCTGAATAAAGAAAGTTAACAGGAGAGTAAACAATGACAGAATTTTAGTTTTTTTTAAGCTATGCATTTATTATGCACATTATTTTTTTGTCTTCTTCCGCTATGTGACATTCTTCTTCATTCTTCAAGTGTTAAGACATTACAATCGCATAACAGCCACATTTAAAATATCACAGTAACAAATCGCTGTTGCTTGCAGGCCAATTAGTCTGCATGAGCCCAAGCAACATAATCCCCAGCAATCCACTGAAGTGTGCTGAATTTAAATCATTTATTCGTCAAGGATGTGCAAGCCAACATCCACATCATTAGCTCCAGTTTCAAGCCTACAGGGTTTCATTATGTAAAATTGCTACATGAGAGAGTGGCTTCAAGTTAGTGTGGCACTGGTCTCATCATTGCTGCACTTGATGGCTATTATTTTTCACCATTTCTTATCATGAATCATTGCCTGTGCCGACTGGAGCAAATCCTTAGATCAAATGAAATATGTTTACGCGTAATTGAGGTCAGAGCTGGTGAGTACAGTTAGCCGACTTTAAAAAAGCTCTCTCTTGTTGTTTGTGCTGCAATGCCTGTGCAATGTGCTGAGCAGCTTCTTTGTGTTTTTTTTCCCAGCAAATCATTGACGCAGCCATGCTCAGCTCCACCCTGACCAGGATGGGCAGCGGAGGTGAGAACGGACGTGTGATGGCCCATGACTTCCCCAAAGCGGCACAGACTCTGCCATGCATGGGCCAGGCGGCCGCCATGGGCCTCAGCACCACTGGGATGTAAATGGCCATCAGCCTCTCTGAGATCAGGGGACATCAGGAGACCAAGAGTGGGAGAAGATGTGAGAGACACTGCAGCGTACAGCTCACCTGCCACTAGAGTACTGCCAAACGGATTCATGAACACACTTTGGGCTACAAATGAATTATAGGAAAATTACTTTTCTAATAATAAGATGTGGTTGTTTTTTTGTTTTGTTTTTTTGGGGTGGGGGGGGGACTTCTCCGGTGCAATAAGGAGACCATGCGTGAGGTGTTTTTGTATGAAGCATCATTTTTTTGAGAAAAACGAGTTGTCCCTCAATCTCATAAATTACTGACAATTGAACTGCAAGGTTTCTTTATTGTCTCGTTTGGCCCAGATCGCAATTTTCCAGTTGTGCTCATTTTATTATTTTCCTTTGCCGTATGATTTATCTTTGACACGATCTCTGTAAGAGGAACATTTTTACACAACATTTTTCTTCAACCAGAGTTACACATCATTATTTATCAAATAGTTTAGGTGAAGTGTGTAATTTCTGTGCCACTAGCTTCACCAAGCAGAATTGCAAAATTGGTCAGACAAACAGATCCCACCCCATTCAGGTGCGTCATAATAGTTGCATATTAATCTGGGAAAGGAAAAAGCATCATAAAGGTATGGCTCATCCAAAAAGAAAATTCTGTCATTATTTACTCACCCTTGTGTCGTTCCAAACCTGTATGACTTTCTATTTCTTCTGTAGAACATCTCTTTTTTTCCAATGTTGCAGATGCACCTATCATATTTTTAAGAGCCTGATTACAAAAACAAAAGTCTCGCCATTAAATCCATGTCCCAAGCACACAATTGTAATATATGACAGACTTAACCATATTATTTCCAATCATATTTCAATCAATTCAAAACCATAATGGCAAACAGTGTGCATCTGAAGTGTCTAAGCTGAAGGAAATAATCCGTTATTTATCAGCTTTAATATATTGACCAAATTTTCTGATCGGGCTTGTTACGCTAGCTTTAAAAATAAACATATATTGTTTCATATATTTTGTTTCTCCATTGACTGTCATTGTATGGACTCAATTTGAAACATTCTTCAAAATATCTTCACTTATGTTCTACAGAAGAAAGAAAGCCATTCAGGTTTGAATCAACATGAGGTGATAATTTTCATTTTTGAGTGAAGTATCACTTTAAAATTATACACTTCACCTTTGAATAAAAACAATGAATGAAATGAATGTTTGTTTGATGTCATCCCAGGAAAAACTAGGAAGTGTGCTACATCAGTGTGTCAGCTTCATTGCACAGTCTACAAATGTCTTCCTTTCCAACTGGTTTGATTGGCAAGCCTCTCTAGGGAAGGTGAGTTCTTCCATAGGTGCGGAGAGGCTGATTTCCAGTCCTGTCATTGTTACTGCTGTAGCTCACACCTCACAGTCTCACCCTTTACTTAAGAACACTTTGGATCAATCACCGCTGCCCCATTCATGCTGCTTGATAGAGTCTGAGAGTTAAAGACGTCAGAGAGAGAAAAGTGGGTGTAGACTAAGCTTTTTGTACTTTTTGCTTATTTGTATGTTATTGTTATTGTGCCACTTCCATTCAGTCTTCCTTTCCAGGTTTACATGACATTTTTCTTTTGAAGTAGCTGATGATATGGTCAGTACATCATTCATTCCCTCACTGAACGGCTAATAAGTTGTGACAGCATTAACAGATTCAAGGGCAGCATGAGCACCCAGCAGACAGTCTCCCTAGAAACCATAAATCTTCTGTTTGTAATAATATTGTCATTGTAATAACAGTTTAAATATTGTCACGTAGACAACGATTCCATAAAAATAATTTTATGGAAATCTGCCTAATAGCGGACACAGGGACAACAACATAAATTGCTCGTGCTGTGAGATTAATAGCCTGACTCTAACAGTCCGTTTGAGAGGAACAAAGCACGCTGGCGACGGCTTGTTTGCTACAATCGTTGCTTTATGCTCCAATAAAATGAACACACTTTTGGATACAGTGACATGAGAAAATGATAATCTATAACCTATTGCATCTTAAAGGGATACTCCACCCAAAAATGGAAATTCTGTCTTCATTTAGTCACCCTCAAGTTGTTGCAAACCTGTATGAGTTTCTTTCTTCTGCTGAACACAAATGAATATAATTTTGAAGAACGATTGGGACTTTGGCACCATTGACTTCCATATTCAATGGTGCCAACATTACATTCATTTGTGTTCAGCAGACAAAATAAACTCATACAGGTTTGCAACAACTTGTGGGTGAGTAAATAATGACAGAATTTTCATTTTTGGGTGGAGTATCCCTTTAATTGGACTTTTATAATGTTGAGGTAGGCCTACATCAGGCCTTGTGTTTCTTTACCAGACTGGACGCACTGATTCAAACACAGAACAGGATTCGAGATGGATGAGATGGACCTGATTATCAGATACTATGAACGAGCACAGGTAAAACTGAATGCCAATACTCTTAAGCACAAGATCGTCATTCAGCCATACTGGAGAACTTTCTCTGAGGCTCAGTGGTGGAGCTTTTCTCTGTTTGTATCCTTCCTCAATACTTTTTTAATTTTAATTTATTTACTTTTTTATTGCATATAGAACATACAACTAAGGATCACAGAGTATTATTACATTCATAATCCTTCCTCGATATTTGCCAGTGGACTTTCCGCAGTCCTTACATTGCCTGTCCTTTTTATTGTCGATTTGTACGAGGTTTGTACAAAGTAGAGAGGATCAACCATGACATGACTTGGAACATTTGTGCTGACAAAACGGCACTTTGTGGCCTTTGTTTTCCATTATATGGGTTATTTGTTGCGTTTATTAAATTTTGAATTCTTTCTGGTCTTGTATTTAAAGTGAAATTCTGTATTTTAGATGTTTTTTGTTGGTTTTTGCACTTCTAGTTTTAAATAGGGCTGTCAATCGATTAAACATTTTAATCGAAATGAATTACGATATGCTAATTAATAAATCGAATTAATAGCATACTGTGTATTTCCATGTGTGCTGAGAAATAAAAAGAATTTTAAATTTATTTATTAATTGTTTACAAATACAGCATTGTTGTGGCATGGCAGCGTTAAATTGACTTTACAAAAAGTCATTTATATATTGTCAAGTCATCGAACATAAGCACTCAGTCCATAATTCATTTAGCAATTGATTTGTCAATCAGGAAACAGAATTTTTTTTTTCAGTGTGTTAACTTTATTATTGCTTATTTTAATCACACTAAATCAACGTATGAGTCTGACAGCCCTGGTTATACAAAAACTTTTGCACATTCACCTCACAAAAAACCTTTTTAAAAACAGCAGCAAGATGTAATGTCAAGAACCAACATGTTGATAAGGAGTATTCGGAAATAAACTTTTCTTACTGAATGCTTTTTTTGTATTCTATCAATTTTTTGTTGTTGCTTTTTTTAATGTACACGTCTGTCTTTTCTCTTGTTTCTCTCTTCTTAGCTAGCTAATGTTTGCATTAGTTTTAACAATGAATGATCCCAGAATCTACAGCCAAGTGATCTCTCTGACCTATCTCTGTCTTTCTGCTCGACGTCATTAGATAAATTCATGTTCAGGACACAGCTGCACTGATTCAGAACATCTTATTTGAGCTCTGTTGGCTCTCAGAGTGCTGTATTGATCTCGATAAATGCCACATTTGTTCTCTTCCTTCTGTTTCCCCCATAGGCCTAGCCTTTCACTCACTCACTCCCAGCTCATGTTCAAGACATAGAAAGTGCCAGAGGCTTTTGTGCATTTGCATTTGCAAGTGTTCATAAATTCAGCACTATCTTAACTGAGCTAATTGTGTGCGCCTACAGGTATGCATTCATCTCTGAGAGCTGAAGCAGAGAATTTTTGTATGGTTACTGAGGAGGTGTCTAAATTTAAGACCCAGCTTGAGCTGCAGTTCTGTTAGGTGACGTTAATGCAGCTGAAACAACAAATGGCATACGAAACACTTGCAAAACTAAAGACTTGGACATATGTTTTAACGTGTTATTAACGGTGTTAACACAAACCCATTTTGACGGCTTGTCTTTTTGGCCTAGCAAACTTTGTAGTTTTTTTTCACATGCTTTTGCAAGAGGAGGCGGTGCTGCACTATGAAGCCTATTCATTTTCAATGGCTTGTTGTTTAAAAAAAAAAAAAAAACAATTGCACAAAGCAAGCCGATCCACTTTTCCATGTTGATAAGCGCATTAAATTGAGAAAAAATAATGGGACAAAAAGAAATCAAGAGACATTTAGAACAGATTAAAATGTGTGATTAATCATGAGTTAACTATGACATTAATGCGATTAATCACGATTAAATATTTTAATCGTTTGACAGCACTAATATATATATATATTAAACTATTAAAAAGCCAAACGCAATATTATCATTGTATACTTTTAGATTTTATTTTATCTATAATGCGATGAGTATAAAAAGCGATAGCAATATATCATGGCTTCAATACCATTTTTAAATATCTATATTAGCTACTATTAAGGTTGCAACACAGGGCTGTTTTAAGCCTGACTGATGCCTCACTCAAAACTTCATCATTCTGTAAGCATCCCCCCGCCTCCCCCCAGTTCTCCTAAAACGGTTGCCATGCCAACCCATGCAATTTCCATGCCTTAACTTGGGAAAGAGACTCAGTGTTACCAACTTCTGTCCGTAAGCTGTTTTTCACATCATTTATTTCTCCCTCTCACATATTCAAACAAGCAGATTGTCTTCAAATCATTTGAGCTAAGTGAAAACAAAAACATGAATGCTAATATCAAAGGAGGGGGGGAGGGGGGCTTGTCATTAATGATGTTAATTCATGTTGATTGACATTGCCATCTGACCTGCTAATAATAACCTCATCCAGTGCTGTTCTGTTATTGAAATGATGTTTGCCAATCTGTCCTATAAAAGAGTAGATGTCATCTGTGCATCTGTCTGTGGCAGTATATTGTTTTTCAGATCTGGTGTGGGAGTCTGCAAGCAAGAGTAGAGCTGCGTTTTGAATGATCATGGTAATTAGTGCAACACACACACTGAACAAAAGCCAACTTGAAAATAGAGCATGCCCTGACAAATTAAAGCAGTGTATCACTATGAGTGACATGTTTGACATGTTCTATCTCTGGCTAATCTGACATTTTATATTTTACTGCATGAGAATTAATAAATGGACAGGGGAGAAAGGGTATGAAGGGACCACTCCAACAACTATGTCACAGGATTGCATTGTTTGTCAAAGAGGAGAAATAAAATGACAGGTTGATCCTCAAGCATCATATCATTTGGAGTATTGATTTGACAGACTGTAGCCTACAGCTGAAGAATGAAACTGAACTTACGTTGGCCATTTTAACTCAAATAGCAGAAACATTGCTTGTTTATCCCCTATCTGGATTCTAATGAATTTAAAATGTTTTTCAGCACCTTCTTTTATTCATGTAATCACACGAAACATTCTAGTTTAGATGAAGCCGCAGAGCAGAACAAAACCCTATTCCACCCCGTGTGACCTTTAAAATAGATGGTTTAAAGATAATCTCTCAACAAGACAATTTTATCACCTGGTTTGACTTTAGATGATTTTCTCTTTGACGGTAGTTGAATAGCAAGGCTGAAGCTGTGTTTTCTGTCCTTTAGTCTGCAGTGACATCAGCTGGGCATTTACAGAATTGACCATAATATTTAATCCTTTTTTCTTCCTTTTCTTTTTTTGGCATTTTGCAACTAGGTGTGTTGTGTTGTGTTGAAAAAACAACTTATGAAATTCAGTGGAACATGAGGTTATCATGTAGCCAGTGTCTAGAGACGTTTGTGTGAGCACACTTGCTCTAGGTAACCAGTCTCCAGGCGGTCTGTAATGGCCCCATGTGCTCTATTAAAAAAAAAAAAGAAGAAGAAGAAGATTTTGACACACCTGAGAGCAACAGAAACTGCCTACAAATCTCGTTCTAACAGGTTACACCAATCGTGTTCCTGAAATAATGTAGGGACAACGAGCGTCTAAGGGTGTTTCTGCAACTATGGGCAATTTTGACTATCCCAATTAAAAAAAAAATCAACCTCTATAAATTTAGAATAGGCTAAATAGGATGTACAAAATAAAATGTAGTCGTTAAGATTTTAATCTGTAACATGTTTATTTTTTATGTTTTTCGGGTCATTTTTTTAAAAAGTGTCCTTACCGTGACGTTACAATAACGTTCATTTTATACATTTTTCTTTAGTAATTTCTTTTAAAAAAATGTAATATATTTAAATAGCTTTTCCACATTTGATGCAGTTTTGTAAATACTGATATATATATATATATATATATATATATAAAAATATGCAAAATAGGGAATTTCATGTTTTATTTCTATGCCATGTAAAAAATTTGCAGTAACCATATGTCAATTGTTTATATACACACAAAAAATGACATATTTAACTTTTTATGACAGATGTTGCAATTTCAATGTGTTGATCATCTCAGCATAAGTGTACAAATTTTTTTCTTTTGCAAATGGAAATGAAAATACAGCAGTGCTGCGGTAATGACATTTTGTGTCTGTAAGGACACAATGTTTATCAGCCACGACAAAAAATGGCATATATATATATATATATATATACTAATATATACTTCAGTACTAAAAATATACAGAATATTTGTCATTTAATATACAGTAAACCTTGAATTTGTCTCTACCGCAACACAAGTTTTTTACCGCAACACCTAAATTTGCTGCGGTAAAGACATGTTGTGGAAATTACATTATTTGCTAATATTAGCTAATTGGCAGCTAGCAAGGCCTACCACATTAGTTTTGACTCTTAGCATCTTAATATACATGAATTCAACAGTAATATACATTTATTTTTAAAATGTAGTTCAAAATACACAATTATTAAGCTGAATGGTAAGGACGCACAAAAAAATAGTAGAACAGAAAAGATGATGTTTGGTATCGTTGGTTACTTTGGTGTTTGGTATTTTTTGGTATCTTTTGAGTGAGGTAGTGTGGTGACCCAGTCTGTCACCAATGTGATCAAGTGTTAATTTCTGTTTCCATAGAAACTAGACTTGTTTGTGTTCGATAAAATTTCATAATTAAAGCTTTTTTTCATTGTTGTGGTAAGGACTCAAAATTGTGGGGCAAGCATATTTAGTTGAAACAAATCATTAAAATGATCAGTAAATAGGCCTAATACAAAGAATTTTAAGATGCTGTAAATCAATTTGTTTGAAATAATGTTAAATTGTAATTAAATTAGCTTATTTTATGTATCTCAACATTGTGACCACAGGTGCGAGACATTAACAAAATGGTTTTGAGCTATAAATGCTTCATAATTATATATTCACATTAATCAGTAATTATATTTTTTGTCAAGGTGTGTAATGGCACTGTGAATATATTTATGAAACCTAGTTGGGAAAACACCCCCAAATTGATTTGCATGTAGTTCAACAACCAAGCATATCACAATCCTTCTCTAAACGGAATGGAGTTGCCAAACAACAAGCAACATATCAAATAGCACAGAGAGAGATTAAAGTTTAATGAGTGTATTGGCCCATGCAGTGATCAAAATATGGTAAGCCTGCTAAACTGTCTCTTTTAATATATAAACAAAACTTAACTGTGAACATAGCAATGTCTTTCTTCATCTCTGCTCAAACCCGTTATAAGCCAAACTGGTTCTCCAGCTTTAAGGGAGAAACTTCTTATGTCAGCCAACACCACCGCTGTATCAGGTTTAGGCCTATGCAGAAGTGCATTAAGGGAATTATTATAACAACAACATTGAGATGAATGGTTAAATGAATGAATAAAAGAATGAATAAATGAATTCAAAACATAGACAGGAGCACTCTCAATTTAATATATCCTACAATAACACTTTACATTGGTAAATTTAGGCAGCTCGTGACAAAACATCGTGTCTTCCCCTATATCAATAGTATGTTTTAGGAAGTTGTACGTATTTGAGTTCCGTTTATTGTATTACAAGGAAGGTGTATTCCTATTGACAAGGCTCGCACGTTATTACGTGTGCGCGAGACGAGGCGCTGCTTGGGCGTGGCAGGCTACCTGTTTTGCTCGTGTCCGTGTTTGCGTGCGCGCGGATCTCAGGTATCGTATCTTCCACGAATTTACGCACACAGATGGCACCGATGCAGAAAGTTTATTCTAGCGTGTTCAAATGAACCGAGGCGGAATACGAAAGAAATTTGTTCCTTTTTAGTTTATTCTGATACCAAATAAGGGTTTTGTTTTGTTTTTAAATGGCTTCATAACCCGTCGTTTAAATGAGCAATACAATGAAAGACATACACCTGCCACCCGATTCATGTATCAATGGTAAGAGAGTTTGTTTTTGTTTCGTAACTACCGTCAGTAGTTTAACTTAAATTGCAAAGAATATTTAAAAAATATATACATATATAATATTGTTAGAGCTCAAAGCTGCTTTGGTGACACTTTAGAATATTGTGTTATCATTATGAATAACTACGCTGGAACAAACTAGTAGATAATTAGCATTATTAACATAGTAAATACTTTTAGCTAACAAGAAACTCTGATTAGCAAAATGTAATATAGTGCTTAGTTCACTATTAGCTAATCAATAAGGCTACTATTTGTGTGATACCCCGGAGAACTAGCTAGAACTACTAAATGTTTAGAAGTCCTTCAGAAGAGTTGCTTATTATTTGGATCAGTACTCTAATGTGGAAAAACATGATAAATCTCTACTGACTGAAGTCATTGTAAACTGTTGTGGTTTTTGTCAGGGTTGGGATATTAATGACTCAAGTGTTACCAAATCCATTGGAAGTTATTACTATCCAAAAACGTACAAAACAACCTTGCAATGACTTCAGTCAATATTAGGGAGTTATCACACATTTCATTTTACAGTATACTGATCCAAATAAAATGATTCGGTAATACATGAGTCATTAGTGGGTTATGACCTTCACTTTAGAAAATAATTCTAATTATGCATTATTCATTTTAATTATGAACCTGTATAGTTCTTCGTAGTCCTCTGGGAGGTATGAAATTGTAGTTATTGATCAGCTAATAGTGAACTAACTGTTCAACTAGCACTATTACTTACTAATTTATTAATCAGAGTTTCTTTTTTTAGTTGATAGTACTTACTATCGTGTAAAAAATTACATTACTCATTTGTTCCTGTGTAGTTTTTGATTTATAGTGGAACAATATTCTAATGTGTTACTGCTGAATGACATCCTGTTTATTAACATATGATATATTTTGTTTGTTTAAAGATCAAACATTATTTATTGTATGTATGATGTCAGCCTTAAATGACAGATGATTGTTTATGCCCGCAAATGTGGTTGCATTGTTACCTTAAAACACTATGTAAACAACTTGTGTGTGTGTATGTGTATATATATATATATATGTTCATACATACACTTTAAAATGTGAAATAAAAACAAACAAAATGACAAACTGTTGTAAGTATATTCTCCTTTTTTGCCATGCTGTTGTTTAGCAATGTTGATTTAGCTTTTTCATGTCACTAAAATATCTTTGTAATGTGAATGTTAATCAGTTTAGCCTTGTTGTAACATTCAGTTCCTCTTTTTCTTCTCTTGATCAGGTTCAGTAATAAGGATCTTCTGTCCCACGTTTGCTTCTGTTTGTGTGTTTGACTCGGGTGTTGGCAACACGTCTTTTAGTCTTGACAACTCCAATAAAAACTCTACAGTCAACACAGCGGTTCTCACCATTGACAAATGGAACAACTTCAATTTCTGGATGGGCTTGACACTGGCCGTGCTCTCAGCTTTCCTCATAGGTGGAAGCATTATCCTAAAAAAGAAAGCATTGCTGCGTTTGGCCGGTACTGGGGAGACGAGGGCAGGTCTGGTCATTTACATCAGTATTTACATGATACAAAGACTTTAAAAGCTCCATTAAATTCTGACACAATAAAGTTTGATGTTTATGCTTCAGACAGTTATGTTAGACTTATGTATGTTAGGGTATTTGGTGTAGTGCCAATTATTTTGCTCGACTGAAAAGCAATTGTGAAATTGGTTGAAACCGGTTTCTTTGTTTGTGCTCAGCTAATACTCAGAGAATTACTCAGACTCTGTTTCATGATCCTTAATAAATGTTTTCTGATGCCTGTTCAGCTGAAGGAGGTCATGGGTACCTGAAGGACTGGATGTGGTGGGGAGGCCTTTTGACCAGTAAGTCCAATGCAAAGGTACTGTAAATCATCTTGCTTTCATGATTTCTGACAGACTCAGTTAACATCCTGCTTTTCTTTTAAAGTGGGTGGAGGTGAAGCAGCAAACTTCACAGCGTACATGTTTGCTCCAGCCACAGTGGTGACCCCTTTAGGAGCTCTCAGTGTTCTTATCAGGTGACTAATGGCACACCCTTATTTACACTTGCCAAACAAACATCCTGAATTGCAATGTTTTTTGTGCAATTCATTCAAATTTAGCTGAGCTAGAGCCCAGCTGAGACCCCAATGCTATGCTAACACTTGTGGGATTGTGGAGTTATGACTATTAAATGTAATTTTTCAACAATTTGGGGATAAAATAAGATAGTTTCATATTTTCATATTGTCTTTGAAAAATTGCTTTTGTTTTCAATTTGGGGTCTGTAAGAATTTGTAATATTTTTTTTTAAAAAGAAGCCTCTTATGCTCATTAAAGGAGTAGTTCACTTTTAAAAAAACTTTTGCTGATAATTTACTCACCCCCATGTCATCCAAGATATCCATGTCTTTCTTCAGTCGAAAAGAAATTAAGGTTTTGGATTTTGATTTTTCTCCATATAATGGACTTCATTGGGAACCAAACGGTTCAAGGTCCAAAAGACAGTTTCAATGCAAACTGTTCAAAGGGCTTTAAACGATTCCAGACTATGAATAAGGGTCTTATCAAGCGAAACGATCGCTAATAAAAAAACAAAAACAAAGTTTAAGTTTTATAAGCTCAAATGGTCACCTTGCTCTGTTCTGTGATGCACGCTCGTGACTCTCCTGTTCGAACTTGTTTATCAAAATGAACGAATCTTTTTCGTGTCATTTGGTTCATTCAGTGAATGAAATGAACGTGTTGACTAGGGAAAAGATTTGTTCATTTTCATTTTCATGGAATCATTTAAAGCCCTTTGAACAGTTTGCAGTTTGCACTGAAAGTGTCTTTTGGACGTTGAATCGTTTGGTTCCCACTGAAGTCCATTATATGGAGAAATCCTGGAATGTTTTCATCAAAAACCTTAATTTCTTTTTCGACTGAAGACAGAATGACATGGACATCTTGGATGACATGGAGGTGAGTAAATTATCAGCAAAAGTTTTTTAAAAAGTGAACTACTCCTTTAAGGCTGCATTTATTTAATCAAAAATACAGTAAAAAAAGAAATATAGTGAATTATTACAATTACAATTTGAATATATTAAAAAAATAATTTGTCATCAGCATGATCCTTCAGAAATCATTCCAATATGCTGATTTGCTGCTCAAGAAACATTTCTCATTATTATTACCAATGTTGAAAACCGTTGTGCTGCTAAAGATTCTTTAATGAATAGAAAGTTTAAAACAACAGAATTTATTGAAATAGAAATCATTTGTTAAATAATAATTGTCTTTACTGTCGCTTTTGAAAAGAAAAAAATATATTTAAGGGGTTAACCAAGTCAGAGGTACAAATGATGGCAAAACATTTCCAATTCTCTGGCAAATGTCATTTTAACAGATACTATCTATAAGGGTCTAAAGAACATGTCAACTGACAATGTCAATAACAGTCTGTTCATCATGAGATTATCATTATCGTAAGAATATCTCATGCACTGATCTCCACCTTTTACCTACTGAAGTCACGAGACAATCCCTCGAATGTCCCTCTCTCAATGTGAGTGAATTCTAGTAATGGCCTTTTGTGTTTCTTTCTAAATGGAAAGATATTAATGTTAATGTTTATTTACTCTCTTCAGTGCAGTGCTGTCCTCCCACTTCTTCGCAGAAACCATGAATCTGCTCGGAAAACTGGGTTGCTTGCTCAGCATACTGGGAAGCACTATAATGGTTATACATGCACCCGAAGAAGAAGAAGTGACGACTCTTACAGAAATGACAGAGAAACTGCTAGATCCTGGTTAGTGTTGCGATACCTTTAGTTACTGAACCGAAAAAACGTTGTCATCATGTACTGTATAACAACAGCTTTTTCTGCTTCTCCTGAAGGTTTTCTGGTGTTTGCCAGCATCCTGCTGGTCACCTGTGTGATCCTAATCTTCTACGTCTCTCCTCGCTTCGGGCAATCCAACATATTAGTCTACATCAGCATCTGCTCTCTGCTCGGAGCGTTTACCGTGTCCTCGGTCAAGGGCCTCGGCATTGCGATCCGCACCATGTTCTCCGACCTTTCGGTGGTCCGTCACCCTCTCACCTGGATTCTTTTCCTGACTTTAATCGTATCCATCATCATCCAGATCAACTATCTCAATAAGTCGCTTGACACTTTCAATACGCTCTTGGTGTATCCCATCTACTACGTCTTCTTCACCACCGTGGTCCTGAGCACCTCTGTGATTCTGTTTAAAGAGTGGGGAGCCATGTCCGGTGTGGATGTGGTGGGCACCATCGGGGGTTTCTTGGTGATCGTGGTCGGGGTGAGCATGCTGCACCTCTTCAAAGACTTGAACATATGTCTTGAAGATTTGAGGAGCAATCTCTGTCAGCCGAGCCCGTCGAAGAGGGAGGACAAGCACATCCTCATAGAGAACATAGACATCCTGCCGCCCATGAGAGAGGAAGGGCCCAGAGTCTTCATCATCAGCTGAGATTGTAAATGCATTGAACAAATCCTCACTGTTTTAATCGTTCATGTCCTCTGCTGAAGGCTGTTATACAATGACACAGTAGTTTGGATCTGCTGCTGCCGAGTACAGTGATGACGCACGAATTTGGAAACATTTAAAGATTGAAACAGAACATGATGCAGAGCCACCACATAATTTACACAATATTTAATAATTTGATCTTTTCGTCTTGGATGCATCTGTGTGGGTATTCTTTCCAGAGAAAAATCTTGAAATTGACCTGCAGTGAAACCTAAAATATATTTATTGACATAAAAAAAAAAAAAAGCATCACAAGATTTTATTGTAGTTTGGCTTAAAAGAAGGTGTAAAGTTCAAAACATTTTAACTATTATTGAATGTTTTGGCTAATTTGATAATACTTTTTTGCTTCTACTATAAAGCAGTATCACATTCAGCGCCTGATTTTCCATATTATATTTATTCAGATTTGAAAACAGACATCCTCTGCATTGTGGGTTCTTTGAGACTGTGTTGCCAGTGTGTGCAGTATATCGGATAGCTCCAAAAAATCAGGAGGGACAAGTTGAGAAGACTGTATTTACCTTTTAGATCATTGACCTGAAGAGCACTCACTGGGTCAGGTGACTCTGTCAACAGAACTGGAGCCTGTGTGACTGTTGGTGTTGGTTTGAACTGAAAAGATCAAAGTCTTTTAGATAATTATTTTAAAAGTTTTTATTTTTAAAAACCTTTACACATAGTAATCACTGTTTTAATGAATCGTTACAATGACATTTTTCTGAGAAGCCCTAGTCAAATGCATTAAAATCTATTTGCATATTAGAATTTAAAGTTCATGTTGGTATATTGTATAATCCGGAAGAAGAACATTGTAAGAAAAATATCGAAGAATGTTAAACAAATGTATCTGAAAGTAAAGTATATCGAAATCATATTATTTTGTGCTCTGGTATGCATTCACAGTCAAAGGAGTTGGAGCACCAGGCAGATTTCCCAATCTAATCTCCCAATAGGTCATTGCAAGAACAACAGCTCATAGTGCAAAATTGTTTTTCTCAGTTTCACCAGTAGATGGCAAACTCTACACACCAGTCAGTTTCACATCATCACCAAGGCATTCAGGTCTCCAAGCTGCCTTAACAACCTATTACACAGAGCTTTGCATAGGTGTGCCTGAAAGTTTGCCTCTTTTAGCCAATCAAATTGCTCGCAGATGCTTAAATGGATAGTTCACCCAAAAAGGAAAATTCTGTCTCATATTCTCAGCTCAAGTTGTTCCAACATACATTTCTTTCTTCTAACAGGGACTTATTTTGAAACATCCTACAAGGTAAAAAAAAGAAGAAAAAAAAAGAAAGGGATGACATATAGTCGAGAAGACCAACTTTCATTTCCAACCAAAATCCAACGTCTGTCCGACATTGGATGTTGACGTCAAGCTGACTTTATTTTCCAACCAAAATGTAGCCTACTTTACTTTTTTCTGGAAAATTTTTACTTTGACTTCACTACATTTGAAATACAAATATTGTACTTTTTTCTCCACTATTTCTGTGTAGGTCCTTAAGTAGAAAGTTGTAACGTCAGTCAGGGGATGTTTTTAGTTATTTTAGTTTGATTTAGACGCCAGAACTCGACTGATGTTGGTTTCTCATGTCAAACCGATTTTCATTTTTTAACATTAGGTTTGGTCTTCTAAATGTAAATTTTGTCATTGTTTTGGAGCGCACTAGCCCATAGATAACAGTAAGGCTAACATATTCATTCTAAAACCCAAAAACTTTAAATAGGGCATTATTTGAGGGAACAGCCATTTGGGTGTCCAAAACCAATGTGGACTTTATTGAGTGCATTTATTCAATCTCACATTCAATCCCACGACCGGAAGTGTGTTTGATATTGATATGAGGCATAGAGAGGCATAAGTTACTGTAAGTACTACATACAATAATGCAACAATAATAAAGCAATGCATTGACAATTACTTTTACTTTGTTTTGATACTTAAGTACTTAAGTATAAAAAAAGGTTCTTCAGTACTTTTACTTAAGTAAAAATTAGTCCTTACAACTTTTACTTGTAACAGAGTAATATTAGTAATATCTGTACTTTCACTCAAGTAAGGAAGTACACACCTTGTCCACCTCTGGTGGTTTCAGACATCCATCAAAATATCTTCTTTTGTGTCCTACTGTTTTGTGTAAAACAGAAGACAGAAATTTAGACAGTTTAGGAACAACTTCAGCTGATGACAGAATTTTCCTTTTTGGGGTGAACTATCCCTTTAAATCCTAAGCGATGTCACACGTTTTTTAGGCCCAAACATTTTTTGTCACATACAGCAAACATATCCTCACTATCTGTTAGCTGCCTGTCCCCTAAACACACTATAAAAAACAAACAAACAAACGCAGTATATGCAGACAACCCATTGCTCCACAAATGGCAACAAAAACAAACTGCAGCGACCCGCTCCATGAAACATAACAAACATAATGGGGGTGGGGTTTGGGGGGTCAGTGCGTAGATGAGGAGGAGGGAGGGTCTATCTAGCCTCGGTTTTGTTTGAAAATACTTTAAAAGTCAACCCGACATCGCTTAGAGCACCTTTAAGACGCTGAACTGTTTTTAATCAATTCACATACATTTAAGTTACTTCTTAAAATGTTTTGTTGTTGTTGTTATTGTTTTGCTTCATTTGTTCTCAGGAGATGCCACTTGATTTTTGCATTTTGCATCTAATGCAGAGACATTTAAACATTTATGTGGGGCTAGTGTTCCAGATTATGTCCAAATACTTTTGGGGCCACTTTATATGACATTGAGCACAACGTTAAGTCAAATTCATCAAACGTTTGCCAGTAAACATGAATAGAGTTATGGCAGAGTGATAATTTATCCCATATCACAACTCACACAACAAAGTGTTTTCTGTATGCCATTCCTCCCTGTTGTGACAGTGTGAGTGAAGTCATTTGATCCAGCTGCAGGACAGAGGCCATTTCATTTATTAGGGACAGCAGTCTGACTGTGAGTTTAAATGGCTTCTATTGTTCTATTGTGTTCCCACACACACACACACACACACACACACTTGACACAACTGCATCACTGCAAGCACGGAGCATTTTTTCTGGATTGTGGAATACAGGGAGATGGACACAGAAAGTTCAAGGGAAAGAGATATAACCATTTCATGGTTCACTGTCCCACAGATATATCCATCATCAGCCAATCAGTGTTGAACAAACAGGTACTGTGACAGATACCACACCTATGACAGGCACCGGCACGTGGAGAAAAGAGCGAGAGGGTGGAGAATAGATACAAAGAGCCTGAGACCCGAGGAAAAAGTGGAAGAAAGCAGGCGCTGCTTCAAGAATCTGACTGCGATTCACGTGGACACTGTTGGAAAGTTTAGATCACCAAGGGAACAACATAACAAGGACTCGTTGTCCGAAAAACTGAGAGCCACAAGACAAACTGTGGAGGATGGACACATGGCTGAATGAAGTCCAGAAGTATCCAGCCCTGTATGTCTTGTGCTGTTCTGTAACCTTCAGGATTCTTCACAGGTTCCTGCAGACTGTGCCCTGCCCCGCCATAGTGGACACAGACCCCTGGAAGACGTGGAAATGGAGGAACCTCTCAGTGTCTCTCGTCCACTCACTGCTGACCGGCATCTGGGCCGTCGCCTGGTGAGCTGCACTTTTAGTTTTCATTCATTCTTTTTTCATTGAATTATTTTACAATTATGCACCACATAATTAGACTTTTTTTTTAAATATCTAATTGCCGTACGTACATATCAAAGCATATCATAGTTAAATAACTTATTTATTGTCAGACTTTCCGATTAGTTTGTACTAAGTTACTGAATGTTCATAAACAGCACTTAACCTTTAGTTGCAGATCTTTCAGTTTAGAAACAGGAAGAACCTGCTAGACCGGCATCATGGATTCAGAGAATGGTGTTGTAATTACTTTTGTGCAGAGTGTGAATCACTTCATACCACAACCCAAGCAAGACTTTCTTTATGCAATGGATTTCTTCACCTGTTTCTCGACAATTTTTTGCATCCCTCTGCCATTCTGACTCCTCTCTATTGGCTGGTTCCTATCCCAGCCAGGGATACGGGGGAGTACTCTGGGTTCGAGCCAAATTCCGAGCTCGGAGCTTTCCACTCAGAGAGCACGCCACATACACATACTCTTTTACACTTATCAGATTTTTGTGTGAACTCATGAACTGTGTCTGTTACTGAGCAAGTCTGTTGTATCTTGATCCTACATGAATCTGTGTGTGTGTGTGTGTGTGTGTGTGTGCCGACAGTGTTATTCAGCATCCTGTGATGGTACATGAAATCCACTCAACCTACACCCCTTCATCCTACATGCTAATCATCGTCTCATCTGGTCAGTAAACACGTCTTATATCAGGAACATATGGCACTAACATACAGTAAAATGTAGCTCACATCTTATTTATCTGATGCTCATGTTCTCCTGTGTGTTCAAGGCAAGCATATAGAAAATATGTCCCGCCTCTGATCTAATGATAAGAGTTGAAGCTGTTCTGCAACTCTTTGGAATAATGTAAATAACATGTTAAAGCTGTGCATATACAGTATATATATATATATATATATATATATATAGTGTATATACTGTACATGTGAGCATGTGAGAACAGATGCGTATGCATACATTATACATAACCATTAAAACATTTGTGATCAGTTTTTTTTAAACACCAAGGCTAAAATAAAAATTCTATTCATCTATTGAATGCAAAAAAAATGTTTCTCTGATCTTCTTGAAACTCTGGATTCTGATAGAGAGCCATGGGACTTATACCTGAGTGCAAAAATGGAGGCTCTAGACCCTTCCAGAGCTGAGATATCAAAATTCAAAATTTCGACCCGAAAAAAAAACGACAGTGTTACCCCTTTCGTTTTTTTTAGTTTTCGGGAGAAAAATTACGTTTCTCCAATCTTCTCAAAACTCTGGATTATGATAGAGGGCCACGAGACTTTCACCTGAGTGCAAAAATGGAGGCTCTAGACCCTTCCAGAGCTGAGATATCGAAATTCAAAATTTCGATCCGAAAAAAAAAAAACGACAGTGTTACCCCTTGCGTTTTTTTTAGTTTTCGGGCGAAAAATTAAGTTTCTCCAATCTTCTCAAAACTCTGGATTATGATAGAGGGCCACGAGACTTTGACCTGAGTGCAAAAATGGAGGCTCTAGACCCTTCCAGAGCTGAGATATCGAAATTCAAAATTTCGACCCGAAAAAAAAAACGACAGTGTTACCCCTTTCGTTTTTTTTAGTTTTGGGCGAAAAATTAAGTTTCTCCAATCTTCTCAAAACTCTGGATTATGATAGAGGGCCACGAGACTTTGACCTGAGTGCAAAAATGGAGGCTCTAGACCCTTCCAGAGCTGAGATATCGAAATTCAAAATTTCGACCCGAAAAAGAAACGACAGTGTAACCCCTTTCGTTTTTTTAGTTTTCGGGCGAAAAATTAAGTTTCTCCAATCTTCTCAAAACTCTGGATTATGATAGAGGGCCACGAGACTTTGACCTGAGTGCAAAAATGGAGGCTCTAGACCCTTCCAGAGCTGAGATATCGAAATTCAAAATTTCGACCCGAAAAAAAAAACGACAGTATTACCCCTTTCGTTTTTTTTGTTTTTGGGCGAAAAATTAAGTTTCTCCAATCTTCTCAAAACTCTGGATTATGATAGAGGGCTGTGAGACTTTGACCTGAGTGCAAAAATGGAGGTTCTAGACCCTTCCAGAGCTGAGATATCAAATTTCAAAATTTCGACCCGAAAAAAAAAACGACAGTGTTACCCCTTTCGTTTTTTTTGTTTTTGGGCGAAAAATTAAGTTTCTCCAATCTTCTCAAAACTCTGGATTATGATAGAGGGCCACGAGACTTTGACCTGAGTGCAAAAATGGAGGCTCTAGACCCTTCCAGAGCTGAGATATCTAAATTCAAAATTTCGATCCGAAAAAAAAAACGACAGTGTTACCCCTTGCGTTTCTTTTTTTAGTTTTCGGGCGAAAAATTACGTTTCTCCAATCTTCTCAAAACTCTGGATTATGATAGAGGGCTGTGAGACTTTGACCTGAGTGCAAAAATGGAGGATCTAGACCCTTCCAGAGCTGAGATATCAAATTTCAAAATTTCGACCCGAAAAAAAAATGACAGTGTTACCCCTTTCGTTTTTTTTGTTTTTGGGCAAAAAAATTAAGTTTCTCCAATCTTCTCAAAACTCTGGATTATGATAGAGGGCCACGAGACTTTGACCTGAGTGCAAAAATGGAGGCTCTAGACCCTTCCAGAGCTGAGATATCTAAATTCAAAATTTCGATCCGAAAAAAAAAAACGACAGTGTTACCCCTTGCGTTTTTTTTAGTTTTCGGGCGAAAAATTACGTTTCTCCAATCTTCTCAAAACTCTGGATTATGATAGAGGGCCGTGAGACTTTGACCTGAGTGCAAAAATGGAGGATCTAGACCCTTCCAGAGCTGAGATATCGAAATTCAAAATTTCGACCCGAAAAAAAAAACGACAGTGTTACCCCTTTCGTTTTTTTTAGTTTTTGGGCGAAAAATTAAGTTTCTCCAATCTTCTCAAAACTCTGGATTATGATAGAGGGCCACGAGACTTTGACCTGAGTGCAAAAATGGAGGCTCTAGACCCTTCCAGAGCTGAGATATCGAAATTCAAAATTTCGACCCGAAAAAAAAAACGACAGTGTTACCCCTTTCGTTTTTTTAGTTTTCGGGCGAAAAATTAAGTTTCTCCAATCTTCTCAAAACTCTGGATTATGATAGAGGGCCGCGAGACTTTGACCTGAGTGCAAAAATGGAGGCTCTAGACCCTTCCAGAGCTGAGATATCAAAATTCAAAATTTCGACCCGAAAAAAAAAACGACAGTGTTACCCCTTTCGTTTTTTTTTGTTTTTGGGCGAAAAATTAAGTTTCTCCAATCTTCTCAAAACTCTGGATTATGATAGAGGGCCACGAGACTTTGACCTGAGTGCAAAAATGGAGGCTCTAGACCCTTCCAGAGCTGAGATATCGAAATTCAAAATTTCGACCCGAAAAAAAAACGACAGTGTTACCCCTTTCGTTTTTTTTGTTTTTGGGCGAAAAATTAAGTTTCTCCAATCTTCTCAAAACTCTGGATTATGATAGAGGGCTGTGAGACTTTGACCTGAGTGCAAAAATGGAGGCTCTAGACCCTTCCAGAGCTGAGATATCAAATTTCAAAATTTCGACCCGAAAAAAAAAATGACAGTGTAACCCTTTCGTTTTTTTAGTTTTCGGGCGAAAAATTAAGTTTCTCCAATCTTCTCAAAACTCTGGATTATGATAGAGGGCCGCGAGACTTTGACCTGAGTGCAAAAATGGAGGCTCTAGACCCTTCCAGAGCTGAGATATCAAAATTCAAAATTTCGACCCGAAAAAAAAAACGACAGTGTTACCCCTTTCGTTTTTTTTTGTTTTTGGGCGAAAAATTAAGTTTCTCCAATCTTCTCAAAACTCTGGATTATGATAGAGGGCCACGAGACTTTGACCTGAGTGCAAAAATGGAGGCTCTAGACCCTTCCAGAGCTGAGATATCGAAATTCAAAATTTCGACCCGAAAAAAAAACGACAGTGTTACCCCTTTCGTTTTTTTTTTTTTGGGCGAAAAATTAAGTTTCTCCAATCTTCTCAAAACTCTGGATTATGATAGAGGGCTGTGAGACTTTGACCTGAGTGCAAAAATGGAGGCTCTAGACCCTTCCAGAGCTGAGATATCAAATTTCAAAATTTCGACCCGAAAAAAAAAACGACAGTGTTACCCCTTTCGTTTTTTTTGTTTTGGGCGAAAAATTAAGTTTCTCCAATCTTCTCAAAACTCTGGATTATGATAGAGGGCCACGAGACTTTGACCTGAGTGCAAAAATGGAGGCTCTAGACCCTTCCAGAGCTGAGATATCGAAATTCAAAATTTCGACCCGAAAAAAAAAACGACAGTGTTACCCCTTTCGTTTTTTTTTTAGTTTTCGGGCGAAAAATTAAGTTTCTCCAATCTTCTCAAAACTCTGGATTATGATAGAGGGCTGTGAGACTTTGACCTGAGTGCAAAAATGGAGGCTCTAGACCCTTCCAGAGCTGAGATATCAAATTCAAAATTTCGACCCGAAAAAAAAACGACAGTGTTACCCCTTTCGTTTTTTTTGTTTTTGGGCGAAAAATTAAGTTTCTCCAATCTTCTCAAAACTCTGGATTATGATAGAGGGCCACGAGACTTTGACCTGAGTGCAAAAATGGAGGCTCTAGACCCTTCCAGAGCTGAGATATCTAAATTCAAAATTTCGACCCGAAAAAAAAACGACAGTGTTACCCCTTTCGTTTTTTTTTTTTCGGGCGAAAAATTAAGTTTCTCCAATCTTCTCAAAACTCTGGATTATGATAGAGGGCCGTGAGACTTTGACCTGAGTGCAAAAATGGAGGCTCTAGACCCTTCCAGAGCTGAGATATCAAAATTCAAAATTTCGACCCGAAAAAAAAAACGACAGTGTTACCCCTTTCGTTTTTTTTGTTTTTGGGCGAAAAATTAAGTTTCTCCAATCTTCTCAAAACTCTGGATTATGATAGAGGGCCACGAGACTTTGACCTGAGTGCAAAAATGGAGGCTCTAGACCCTTCCAGAGCTGAGATATCGAAATTCAAAATTTCGACCCGAAAAAAAAAACGACAGTGTTACCCCTTTCGTTTTTTTTCATTTTCGGGCGAAAAATTAAGTTTCTCCAATCTTCTCAAAACTCTGGATTCTGATAGAGGGCCATGAGACTTTGACCTGAGTGCAAAAATGGAGGCTCTAGACCCTTCCAGAGCTGAGATATCAAAATTCAAAATTTCGACCCGAAAAAAAAAACGACAGTGTTACCCCTTTCGTTTTTTTTAGTTTTCGGGCGAAAAATTAAGTTTCTCCAATCTTCTCAAAACTCTGGATTCTGATAGAGGGCCATGAGACTTTCACCTGAGTGCAAAAATGGAGGCTCTAGACCCTTCCAGAGCTGAGATATCGAAATTCAAAATTTCGACCCGAAAAAAAAACGACAGTGTTACCCCTTTCATTTTTTTTAGTTTTCGGGCAAAAAATTAAGTTTCTCCAATCTTCTCAAAACTCTGGATTATGATAGAGGGCCACAAGACTTTGACCTGAGTGCAAAAATGGAGGCTCTAGACCCTTCCAGAGCTGAGATATCGAAATTCAAAATTTCGACCCGAAAAAAAAACGACAGTGTTACCCCTTTCGTTTTTTTTCATTTTCGGGCGAAAAATTAAGTTTCTCCAATCTTCTCAAAACTCTGGATTCTGATAGAGGGCCATGAGACTTTGACCT